GTATCTAGATGGCCGAAAATGCCGCACCCACATAAAGAAAATAAGGGCCGCCCCTTCCGCCCCTCCTTCCTACGGCACAGCATACATGGTCAAATTTTGAATATATTAAGTGTGTTAGAAAATACTATTATACTTAAATTAGAAGAAACACAAAAAGTGCAGAGAATAATTATGAAAATTTAAAAAATATTCAATAGTGACGCCAAATATTCCCTTTACCACAAAGCCTAGGGCGTATGGTTGGGAGGGACCTAGCCAAAGCTTGTTTTTAGGCGCACTCTTGCCCCCCTCCCCCCCCCAACCAAATTTTTTTTTTAATGAATACACGTATTTTTATTTAAAATTCCTAAAGTCTCATTATTTCAAGTTAACATTTTAGTTTTAGAATTGAGTTGAAGCTCATAGATACATTGAACATCCTGTTTAAAAAAAAAAACAAAAAACACCTTCAAATTAATTTCCATATTGGATTTTTCAAACTGATATATTACACCATCAAAATCAATATTTTGGCAGCTCGAGTTCTGACAGTCTTAAATGATCTCATTTATGATCTAAAATAATTTATTATATGTTTCATACTGGAGAAGATTTCCTCGCGCTAAAGTGACGGATGCAAAAAAAAAAATAAAATATAGACTACATGTTCTTTCTCTAACACATTGGTTGTATTACTACTAAGTCCTTTTCGCCAATGAAAGTCAGTCTATATAATATTGACCAATTTATAAACCCTTTCAGCTGGCTGCTTTCACATGATTTTGTTAGCCCTAGGCTGATATTTTTTTTAAAAAGGCATTTCCAGTGTCCCATCGAATGGTGTAGTCAGTTTCGTTTCGGAATGGTCAACTACATACATTGGGGAAAGCCCACCAGATATGGAGGGTACCGGGGAAATAAAATACTCGGGGCGGATCAAAATCAGAACCTACTGTCTTGTAGGAAGTGGAGGGATCCACAAAGGCTAGGGACCCGACCCAATACAAAGGCAGCAACCCTGAGAGCTGCAAGGGGCATCCCCCCAGACGGTTGTGCGCAGGGCTGACGACCCTGTCACGTAAAAAAGCTAATGTTACGAAAGTAAAACCACAATAAAAAAACGGACTGATATTTATGGATTTCGACCCATGCCTGACCACAAACATGACATATGGATAGCGACTTGGAATGTACTCAGTTTATACCGAGCAGGTGCCTTGGCCCGCCTCGTTGAGAAATTACATAGATATAGAATAGTGATTGCGGCACTGCAGGATATTAGATGGAAAGACTCAGATATCCTAAATATAAAGGAATATACAATATTCTACAGTGGAAACAACACAACTACTTTAGGAACAGGGTTTGCAGTCAAAAGAGAGACAGTAAATGCAGTCATTGGGTTTAAACCAGTGAATGAAAGATTATGCTCCATAAGGATTAGAGGAAAAATGTTTAACATCACGTTAATCTGCGCTCATGCTCCAACGGAAGATACAGATGAAAGCATGAAGGAAAATTTCTAAGAAACACTGGAAAAAGTATTCGATGAGGCTCCACGACATGATATCAAAATTGTCCTTGGCAATTTCAATGCGAAAATTGTGAAAGAACTAGTCTACAGACCAACAATATTATAGGAAAGGAAAGTATGCATGATGAGAGCAATGACAATGGAACACGTCTTATAGACTTCGCTTCTGGAAAAGGAATGATAATCAGTAGCGCAGTATTCCAACATAAACAAATACATAAAGCGACATGGCTATCTCCAGATAGATTTACCCGTAATCAAATAGACTGCACGTACTCATCGACCGGAGGCATGGCTCGGACATATCAGATGTGAAAAGTTGTAGAGGGGCGGACATAGACTCAGACCACATGCTTGTTAGAGTCAAATAAGCAAAGAATTTGTAACATCCACAATAAACAAAATAAAAGAGAAAATCAGAACAATAGTCAGAAACTGAGTAGGGACCCAAAAATTGCTGAGGAATATGAACAGAAGATTGAAACCCTAATAGAATTATCCAAAAGAGAATTAGCCAGCAACGTTGATACAAAGCAGCAATGGGAAAAGATGAAGCAAATAGTCACAAGTGTAACAAAGGAAACGATTGGATTTAAACCAGCAGTGAAAAGAACAGGATGGTATGACGCAGAATGCAAAGAACTTATAGAACAAAGAAACAAAGCTCGGCTAATGATGCTGCAAAGGGAAACAAGAAGAACACGGCAATTATATAATGAAGCAAGAAGGGTGGCCAGCAAAATTTGCAGAAAGAAAAAACGTGTTTGGGAAAAATAACAAAATAGTAGAGATAGAAGAGTTGGCAAAAGAAAGAGATGTGAGGGGAATGTACCTGAAGATAAAGCAGGAAAAGAATGGCTTTCAAGCAAAATCCCACAATGTGTGAAAACACGGATGGTGAATTGATCACAGAGAGCAGTAGAGTACTAGAGAGATGGGCACAACACTTTGAAGGCTTACTGAATGGCTCAGGTGGAGGAACCAATGAGGATTACGCCCCACCACAAGGAGGATCGGACCCACTGGTCAACCAATCTCCACCATGAAAAATAACAAAGCTCCAGGAATAGACCTTATCCCTGCAGAACTCATAAAATAGGTGGTAGCGAACTGCATAGGCAAATACACGAACTTATAACCAGAATCTGGCAGGAGGAAGAAATGCCAACTGAATGGGACACGGCACTCATAATCCCAATCCATAAAAAAGGGATCTAAGTTGATCTGCTCAAACTATAGAGGTATCTCCCTTCTTAATGTAATGTACAAAATCCTCACAAAACTCATAGCGAGAAAATTGGAAAAGTATAGTGAACAGATCCTAGGGGACTATCAATGTGGATTTCGGTAGAATAAGTCAACCACGGATCATATTTTTACTATATAAGATGTCTCCTGGAGAAATGCTACGAATAAAACACCGACATACATCAACTATATGTGGATTACAAAACAGCATACAATAGCGTAAACAGGAATTACTTATACAATGCTTTACAAGCACTTGGAGTCCCTAACAAGCTTACTTGGCTCATACATATGTTAATAGCCAACTCCAAAAGTAGAATCAAGGTACAGGGATAATACTTTAGGGAGTTCCCAGTTAATCAGGGCCTCAGACAAGGAGACTCACTATCATGTATCCTGTTTAACATCACGCTAGAAAAGTTATTAGAAGCATACACATTAGCACCAGTGGAACCATAACAAACTACTTCCAGAGAGATACTACAGAACAACAACCACCAGGAACCTTATATAGCCAACCATTGCAGTACCTGGCATATGCAGATGATATAGCACTACTGGGTAGAAACCGTAATGACATAATTAAAGCATTCAGGGACCAGTGATAGAAAATGATATCTGGAGAATACGTACAAACCAAGAACTTTACTATTTTTACAAAGAACCAAACATAGACACAATGATAAAAAAAAGGCAGAATACGCTGGGCAGGTCATGTTGAAAGGATGCCGGAATGCAGAGCAGCCAAAATTATATACAGGCAGAAGCCTAGGGGCAGACGACTCACCGGTCGCCCAAGGATGAGGTGGGTTGATGATGTGGAGACAGATTTACACCAGTTGGGGGTTCGAGCATGGAGACGGAAAGCCATGGATCGCTCCGAGTGGAAGGATGTGGTGGAGCAGGCCAGGGCCCTACATAGGCTGTAGTGCCACTGATGATGATGATGAACTATATACATTCTTTAATTACTGATCCAAATAATAGAGACATTGACGTATGAAGAGATGAATGGAAATGGCGTTCCGCCCCGAGCATCACTTTTTTAAAACTTGGTTGGGGTTGGGGGGTGGGGTAGTATTTTAGTTCAACTTCACATACTGTAAGGCTCATGTCTGATGTGTATTCTAGATTTTAGGACATCGGAGCGCTTTGAACATGCTAAAATAATATGGGCACAAGTGCTATAAAAGTATTCAACTATCATCATCTAATTTATTCAATTAAGTAGCACTGTATACTTAAAAATTATAAAATCTGGAGTCATCCCATCTGTTTTGTTAAAATGAAGACGTTCGCTTATTTCCAAATAGATAAACAGGTGGAATTTTATGATCCGTTTAGTCCCCCAATTCCTGAAAGGGGGGATTACTCAAAAATGACATTCTTCCTAAACAACATTTCTTAGTTTATCCCTCTTAGCGAATGATAATAGACGGTGCATTGAAATTTATCAATTAATTTAAAAAAAAATAACGGGAATATAAAAATATTTCAACCTTGCGTGATCTGGTTTAAGTCTCATAACATTTAACCAGAAATTCATATGCCATATTTCTCCCCAGGGCAAGGTTATGACAAGATTCACTTTGAAAACCGTACAAGCAAGCGGCTTTTATTTTTAAACTGTGACTGAGTCGTGACGTGACTCTGATGTGGCGCAAAAGATCAAAGGCGTGTCAATTTTTTGTAAAAGAAAAATAACTAGGCCTACACTATTTTGTGTATCTATTTCACCCACAATTTTAAGGATATAAATAATGAAAGTATTCTTATAATTACTATCTATTAAAATGTCCGTGGTAAGCGTTTACTCTGATCATAATTCAATCGAACACCCTTAAAAGCAGGAAATAAGCGGGCAACCGAGGGGGCACAGTGGCACTTTTTTCTGTATATGTTGGGGCGGCATTTTCTGCCAACTGAAAAGTTTTATTTTTGAGGTGGGGGTGGCAAAATTTTTGTCCCGCCCTGGGCGGCACAATCCCGAGCAAACCCACTGCCGAACGGCCAAAAATAAAACCTTAAATGGTGTGACCGTGGTATCGCAGAACATATATGATCAGTTCTAGTGTTTCGTATATTCCATAATTATTCAGTGCACATGAAGAGAAGCTGGATGAAGCTGTCAGTCAACACTGAATTTAAATGATGAGAGAAGCGAAAGTAGGCTAAATTCCAATGTGCCATCTAGCGGAGACTTTTTTTTTTTCGATCAGCCATCTTTTTAGGGAACTTCACTTCCTGTGTATTTATCGTATTGTTGGAATCCGTTGTGATTGTTTTAGTGACCTGTGTTACGTCTACTATTAGACATTTATTACTTGATGGTTTACATTCAATCGGTTTGCATGAGGTCCCTCGCAGTTCAAGATATGTAAGTGCTTAATTTTGTTTGTGTTGAAACAAATAAGCCTATTGTTTAAATTAGCATATTTAGTTTCAGGGGCTAGGCCTAGGGCCTAGGGCTAGGGCCTACGTTGAACATGTCTGCTAAAAAATAAACTTTCTGAATACAATATTATATGTTAAAATAACATAAAAGTAAGAATGTAATACGAGAAGTAGAGCTGAATCGATGTGACTGAGTTAATAGGAGTGAGATAGTTAATATTAAAATTAACTAAGAATGAGCCCACCATCGCATTAAAATGTAACAACATCCAACCTTGGCCTTGGTCTGATTCTCATTCTGATTGATTGGTCTTGCATGAGTTAATCAGTCAAAATTAATAAAAGTAAAAGCCAAAGGTTACTTAGGTTACTACTACTAACAACTAAACTAGTCTTCTTAATAAGTTAGTAATTAAGTAATAAGTTAATTTTTGGCTTGCCTGGAGTCTGAAGCATCAGAAATGTCTGAGGTAGTCACATTCTCATTATCCAGTGTGCAGTTCAGGTGTATAACTTATTATATGACTTATTTATTTCTTAACGAAATTCATATTTTCCCATTTGAATTTAACACATGTAAATTCTTTAACTACTTCAGCATCGGTTATTAAAAAATTGTGTGTTGTTCTGGTTTGAAGTTGAAGTTCTATTTAAAGGGTTATTGAAAGTTATTTGTTTATTGATTAGATAAAATTCTGTTATTGATCCAAATAAATGGAAATTTGTTTTATGATATTGTGCATATGCATTTCAGCACATTTATAAAATAATACAAGACAAACTTTTTAAAATAAAAAATGTAAAATATTTAATAATTTTTAAAATTGAAAAATTTAAACAATTCAAATTCAATGTATGGAAATATAACACAGTTTGAGTTTATATAATCTCCACTTAAACAATTGCAGAACATGAACTCATGCAAAAATGAAGGGAAAAGGCCGCGGCTTGTGCCAAAATGTACTTTCAGTTTACATTTTGCGTGCTTCCACATATTTTCAACATTCTTCTTCTATATATTTAGTATTGATCATTCTGGCTCCTGTAGGCCCGAAAAAATTGTTCCACATAGTCTTGTCAAGAAATTACAATACAAGATTGAGTTTGTTATGAGTAAAAATTTTCAGCTTCTAAACAGTCAAAGAAACTTTCAGATCAAAAAATATCCAACACCACTATCATTTGGATGGACAAAATTTTATTGATCGATCATAACGGAGTGGTCGTAGATTCCCTGTCTGATCAGGTTTATCTTTGAATAAGCCACCCATCCGAGAAAAGGGTGACCACTCTGACTCTCTCTTTCTATGCCTCTAAAAACTCAGTGGCCCTCTCCACACTGTCCTATTAATAGACATTGATAAAATAACCTGTTAAATAGCACTTCAAATGGGAACAACAAAATATTTAAAAAACCAACACTGAAGTGGTAAATTACCCAATTAACTCCAGTTTTTTTGTGAACATGCCTTCAATTTGAACATTTCATTTAGCATACCAACTTATAGGTGAAAAAATCTGGCATATAGTGTGAAAAAAAAATGGGCAGATCCTTTACTAGCTATGTACCAATGATGGATGTTCAACGCCAATTAAGAATTAAAAGGAAAAGTTTGCGCTGTAAAATGTTTTTTTTAGATCATTGGAGTTAATTTAATAAAGAATACACATTATTTTACAGGGGAAAATGCAAAATTCATTAAGAAATAATATTGAGGTATTTGCACACAATCTTTAAATTGAAATCTTCGCATCAGCTTAAAGAAATTATTAGATAGATTATGTCACACACACAAAAATGGTGGATTAAAGTTATCACTAAACTATGTAAATACCAAACTTTTTTATATATCGCCTTTTTATGGACCAATTGAATTTCAGGATAATGATTGTAGAATTTTTGCATGTTAATTTTCATATGGTAACAGCAAATACTCATCCCCATATACACCCATCTAAATCAACCATTCCCCCTCACTGCATAGGAAGTATTGGATGGCCTCTAACTGCAATAAATTTATATAAAATAATTGAAGAAACAGGTAACAAACTTTAAATGAAGGTGAGACCTAATTATTATTCAGATTGTTTAAGACAATATTCAATGAATATGCTAACAGATTTTTTTGTTTTTTGACTGGCATAAATTTAAATTCAGTCTTAAAATCCAATGCATGAAAAATAGAAGAGCTATTTTGAAAATTATTTTGCATAATTTCAATGCAGATGTTAGATCCCATGACTGGATTGATTTTAAAGATATAGTAGCTTCTTTTTTTTAAAACAAATACAATTTTTGAAAGGAACATTTATGGAATGCAAATGCTTAGATTAACAATAATCATCTTTCATAATTAACAAAAAGTATATTTGACATAAAAAGAAACCCAATATTCAACAAATAAAAAACACAAATTTCCCTCTTCCCTATAAAATCAAAGTATTTATACAAGCCATTGCTTTTCATTTATTGAATAAATGATGCAAACATGCTTCCATATATGCTGTATTTGTTTCCCCCACATGTAGAAGATTTGTATTAACTTAGCAGTGTTCACTTTAAAGTTCATCCCAACTTAAAAGCAGTTGTTTCCTGGAAATTACTTGAGATTGATCATTTAATATTAAATTGTAATGTAGATAACATTTTTGGTAAAAGTTTGTAAACAATTTTTTACAAAAATATTCTACCATGGCTTAGTAACATACATTTTCTTAATGTTGAGCCTTTTCAATGTTTTCTTTGCTTTTAACCAATTAATGGTTATGGTTTTAGGGTCTGGCAGGTGCCAGTGTAATATATTTTAAATGTTAACTAGATGTGCTTGCTTGGAACTAAATTTTGGGTGAAATTGAATGAGTCCTCTTAGCTACCTTAATTGGATGTGTCTTATTGAAATGGATTTTTAACAGTAAATAGCATGATATTATAAACTTAATTAATTTTTAAAAATTAGATTCTGTTTTATATTCTAATGTCACAACACACATTTTTAATTGAATTAAGGTGCCACCTCTGAGGTTAAGACTTAACAATATTTAAACTTATTTAATCAAAATACCAGAGATTCAACTAACAATTATTCTTTTGCTATGTTTGATTGAGGACCAATTCAAAATTTGTGTCATTTTCTTTCTTCAAGATTTTCATGTAAAGTGACCACTAGATGTATGTAAATGTTTGCTTTTTGTCAAAAATTATATTACAATGTCACAGATTAAAAAAAAAAAAAGTTTCTCTTCTTTGAGCCCTTGCTGAATTACATCATGATGAATGCTTTTCATTTATTTAAATTTTAATTACACTTCCAAGAACCACAATTGCTAAATTGACTTCCTCATCCTTTCTCTGAACAATACCATACAAAATGAGGGCGGGGGAAATTCCATGTGATTCAATATTTAATAGTTCTAAACAGTTGATGCTCAAATCCTGTCCTTAAGTTTGCCTTGAAGTGAAAATTTTTTGTTTCAAAAAAAGGTGATTTTCAAAGGTATGCTAAAAATTCCACATTCTTCTCTTTTGACGATTCATTCGATTTTGTCTCTTCAGACACCTTGGGCTCAATTTTTCCTGCTTTACAGTTTGAAAATGACGTAAAATGCTACGTGAATATGTCGTGCCTCACTGTATATGTTGTTATATTTACTATACTGGCTTATTATTACTATGATGATGATGCTAGATAACAATACAGTTTTTTTTTGTTTTGTTAAAGTAAAGCGGTTACACACCCAGGGTTGCAAAATGTACGGACATCCTGGAAAATCGGACTTTAAAGTGATCTGCTGTAAAGTTGGTAAGAACTAACCATGCAGAATCACCTACAAGATTATGCGCCGCATAACATATTTCTATACTTAATATATATAGCCATACGCCAGGGCTATTTGAATTGTTTTGATTTTGAACGCCACATTTTGGACTCATTGATACAAAAACACGTGTCCGTAGAAATAGTGTTCTTTCGTCAGGATTTTAACATTTAAGGCCATAGACGCCATTGTCGGTCAAAAGAAAAAAACAAATGATTTGGCAACCGCACAAGCGCACAAACTGGCGGTGGGCAACCTCAAGGTAGGTCATTTCGGAAAATAATTACAAACTAAAGAAAATATCAATGTTCATGTGAGTAACAGTTAATAGTGATTAAACAAGTGAAATATTATTATGTGTTTAACAAAAGTGCAAAATGCAAAACGAAAGAAGAACGTGGTACTCTGGTTGTGTGTTCAGTACAATAAACAAAGTGACCGCCTCCCCCCTCCCTCATAACCTCTTACAACAAACACACACTGGGCATAATTCAGGTCACCCTTAGTCCAGAGAATTCCGATCAGTCAACACGTTCGTTAAACACTGTCCACAAATAAGATAAGACATAGACCATACCAAGACAGTTTCGCGACATTCCTATCCACGAGTTAGAGGTTTCCATCTACACCACAGACCTGCTATTGCCAATTACATTCACGTCCGTTTCACAGAACAGTTGGTTATTGACGTGTGTTCGTTTTTGTGTGTGTGCTGATGATGAGTTAGAAGTAATCGTCCATGTTTAGGTCGTTGTAGCATATGCGTTTTGACGGATATTGTGGAGGATTAACTTTGTTGGAGATCCTGAATCCATCACAGCACTGCAATATAAAGCCACGCTAAGCTTGTTTCATTGAATGGAAAATAAGTAAATGATAACATGACGTAAAATAACCATTTGTGCCTAAAAGGGTTCAACTCCACACCCACTCCATGTAGATGGACAAATAGGTCACGGTAAATAAAGGATGCGGATGTGAACGATTAAACTCTGAGATCATCGGTACTTAGTATGTACGTCGGTTGTCATTGTGCTATTGGGGATTACATCATCGAGTTGTATTTAATTCCTACAGTGACAATATTTACAGTCCAGTCAAGAGACTGGCCAGCAGTACTGCTTCAGGGCACGACTGTGTTTACTATCTTGCCAACAGGTGTCTACATTTGAATATTCAGGGGCGTAACAACCTGTTGGAGTAGGGCACCAAGTTTGTCCCAGCATTTTCTAGAAACCCGTTTTCCCCTGGCTGTAGCAATAATAAATAAATTATATAAGCTGGACAGAGTCGTCAATAGTGCTTCCGATGACATCATACACCAACTCATGTACAGTGAAACTTGACGCAAACCCCTGGGGCCGAACCAAAAGTTGGTCTTATTTGTAGGGATGGTGCTGTCAGCGGGTTCAGTCGACGTTAAAATACCATTCCATGACGGATTGAGTCACCGCCTATGTAGTTGATGCATATTTCAAAGCTATTTATTTTGAGGCTTCACTGTGCATGGCATGTCCTACTCCACGTGAGCATCGGATTATTTCTTCAAAGCTACTCACAGATGAACACGGGAAACTTTTTGGCTTCAGTAATGAGTTTATATCTCCGGTTGGCAGTTAATATTATAGCGACAATATTATTGACTATTGACCATTAATCTCGCCTCCATGTTAAAGTTTTATGCCATTAAATATACCTTTGTCTCGTGTCCACGGCCGTCGCGTGACTCATGGAGGCCCACTGCCAATTTTTCGGTTTTGTGCCCCCTGCATCAAACATATCTTATAGTTAAATTTTGTTCTCCACATCATCACAACTTTGTGCCCCTTAAATCTCCAAGGGCCATCCTTCAGAAGCAGGGGTGGCGGGGCCCTGTTCATGGTTTGGATTATTCCTTATTACCAGAGTAAAGGTCTTTTTACAGTTTAAAAAAAATAATTTATTAATTCAATTATAGTGATATATTTGGTCTACGTGATTTTAGGAATATCTCCTCAGTATTAAAAGACAACTGAAGTATTTTAGTTCAACTTTTTAACATTTAATTTTAATAACATTTTCAGGATTAAAAAAACAACAACAATGCTGTCTATAGATAATGTCTTACGTTCTTAACAGCTTCACCTCCCTCTTGTCTTTAATCTACCAACGAAAATGGAAGAATTGGTATATACTATATGTTACAGTTACCGGTAATTTGAAAAACCATTCTACTACTAAATGTGTCTGTCATGGATTTTTGAACATCTCTCAGATAGTATGGCGTAAATGCATTATTTATTAAAATAGTCAACGTGAAAATACACACCCTTTATTTAAATATTTAATAAAAACCAGCTGCTGGGGCGTCCAACATTCCAGCGTCTCGTTTTGGGGATATTTGAGATGGGTGCACTTTTTGCTTTGTGGCGCACTCAGTAGGTCACCTAAATGCAACAAGTCATTTTACAGCTGCCATGTGTGCCAGCGACCCGCACGCAATCTTTGTTGCCAAGTTACAGGCTCGCTATTCGTGAGAGGATGGCTTGATGGTTAATTTATTGTATACATGGACAGTGGTGATCTTATCGTACAATATCACAAGGTCGGGCTTAATTGAGGAAACATGGCGGTTCCCAGCAATATTCGTATAAATTTATGATGCTGTTACACCACATGGTAACTGAACAATTCAATTTGTGTTTGTAAGAGTATTTCACCTTTTTGGGGTTGGGGGGGGGGATTACCATCGATCTTATTTGCATATTTGAGCTAAGATTTTCTATTGAAAATGGATATTAAGGCCAAGTGACATAATTTAGGACTGGGTTGTTACATGCTAACGTTTTAGAGTGGTTATCTCTGCTCCAGTATTACACTTCTTTCACTGGAGCAAGAGCGATCAATACATGTTTGCGAGACTCTTGAAAAAAAATTTAATCAGAGGGAAGAAACGCAGAATATTGTAGAAGGAACCCATGTGTTGAACTTATTATAGATCTTTGATTGAAAGAGAGAATGTGTATTTGTGAAAGTGGAGAGAGGGAGAGTGCCCCCAGAATCTCCTCCGCTCTCGAAAATGAGATTTTAGATTCGGTCCACTGTGGAAGAAAATAGTTGACAACTAGTCTTGGGAGTGGAAGCGAGGAGGCAGGCTATGGCGGAATCGATAAGCAGTCTCCGCTGGTGTGGGAGTGTGTGAGGGAAAGAGAGCTAGTGTGTGAAATCTCCCTTCTGCCAATTCACTTTATTTTCCCCTTATACATTTTGTTTTCTATCCACTCGAATCGGTTTCCCCCTTTCCTCGTTCAGATATGCGAACTTTTTTGCACAAATTTATTCCGAAGGCGCCAAGCTCACACCGTGGTTGCGTAAATTTAAACAGCTCCCCGGTGCTTAAACATTTTAGATGATGGATCATTTGAGGAAGAAATCCAAGTTTGCGCTGAGCGACGCAGGGTGAGTGATTCAGTGTTGACTGTCCTTTGTGTAACACTGGGGCCGATCAGCAGGAAATAGAGATGGCGACGAGATGCGACCACCGCCGTGCTGCTGCTGCTTCTTCTACTTGTTGTTTCAACTTTCGCTTATGGTGGGGGGTGTGTTGGCGGAGTGGGGGCGGCAAAGATCCTCGCTGGCCGAGAAAAAAAAAGAGATCTTGAATTGTGACATTAAGGAATGTGTGATTTGGCGGTTGATATTAACACGAACACATTACAACAAACAGGGGTCTGACGTTTAGCGTTTGTTGTTGTCGTTTCCCTGAGCGTGTGGTGAAATTGGACCGGTTTCAAGGTCAATGCCTTGATGAGACATAAGACGGCTAGAGTTTGAACACTTAAAATATACGGAGAACGGGATCAAATGTGTACGACATTTTGTGTCTTAAGCTGGTTTAATTTACATAGTAGGCTTAATGCGTTGATAATCTAACCACGCTATTTTTGTTTTGTCACGGCTCTACTCTAAAATTTAGTTAAGGCACAGTTACATGTGCTAACAGTTGTTTCCAAAGTGACCCCTTCTTCTCGGGGCCCTTCACACACACACACACACACACACACACATAATATATATATATATATATATATATGTGTATATATATATATATATATATATATATATATATATATATATATATATATATATATATATATATATATATATATATATATATATATATATATATATATATATACACACACACACACAAACACACATAATATATATATATATATATATATATATATATATATATATATATATATATATATATATATATATATATATATATATATATATATATATATATATATATATATATATATATATATATATATCCATCCATATATATATACCTTCCTTGGCCAGCAGTCTGTCCAAAACAAATGTATTGTTCAAGCTAGACTTCCTGGATTTGCAAACACAAAATGCTGTACAGCCTGTGTTCTCTCTCTCCCCGTCTAGCGCCCCCTCCCCTTCCCCCCAAAAATAAAAGAAATAAATAAAAACCAAAAACACATTTTGGGTCATATTTGTGTAATTTTGTAATTAAAAATGTATTTTGATACTGAGGAAAAAGCATAGTAATTAAAATGAGAATACTATTAATGAGCTTTTAAGTTCATTCTAAACAAATGACAGGGTGAAATGGGATTAGTTTCACAATAATTTCATAAAAAAAGGAATCCTGGTGGGCTGAAAAATAACAGCTGTCTAGGATATACCTGTGCTCAGGGGAGAACATACATTTCTAGTTCTTTGTTAGGGTTAAGGTCTTATCTTTTATTTAGTTCTTGCTGTAATAAGGTAAAGAAGCCCCATTTGTCTAAGGTTGTTCTGTGTATACTGGTTTATTTCAAGTCAGGGTGCCTTAGTTTACCTCCACATCCAAATTTGCAAACAATTTCATATTTTCATCATATTTGACAATGTTATTTTCTTTTGCATAACTGACTTACAAAAAGACATCAAATGAAATGAAAAAAAAAATAACATTTAACATTTGAGAAAGGCAAAATAACAAAAGAGGTAAAGATAAATTATTATGCACCAAGTCAGATGTACACATATATACACAAGTTATAAAAGATTATTAGCCCCTCTTTTGGCTGTGCCCCATGCCCCCAAAAGCCCTGGGTGAAGGTACTGTAGTTCAGGTCAATCTTTTAAAAAAAATTAAAAAATTAAAAGCTGCATTCTTAAATGGACGATAACAAATTTTTTTTAATGGAATGAAAAGCTTTACAAAGTTTGTTTCATTTTCTCTTTTGGATCTTTTATTTTTGTCAAGAAATGCCCTATTAAAAAATAATAAAGCAGATATTTTAAAGCTCTTAATCTCAAAAAAAGATAATCCATATCTTTATTTAATAAGGGTCAAGGGTCTAAAGAGATGATTGACAATTTCATACATTGTTAACTCCTGATCTGAAGGGGCAGTAATAGCAATATGCCTATATTATAGAATTTATCTGTCACAAAATGATGGCTTCTGAAAATTTCACCGGGTGAAATTCAATTTTTTTTTTATTTATTGAAAAATCTAGCCACCAGGCCAAACATTTGATAGATATGACTTTCAGTAAACCTCCTTATTTCAATAGTTGGGGGTGACTCTATATTTAATAATAATTGTCCTGCTTTTATAAGAAAGTTAGAAGGAATCTATATGTAATAAATTGTTTTAAAAAAAAAAGAATTAGGAAAAATAAAGTTTTAAATTCAGTGATTAAGGGCGCAGTCAATTTTTTGGGTGTGAAATGAACCAATTAGTTTTAATCAGTTCCTTATTTTAATGAAGGCAGTCCTTGTGGTTGTCCTCACCTGAAATCAAGCTGTTAACTCTGTGCAGTCCCATTGTTTTTATTTTTTAATTTGTTTTTTAAGGTCATCTTACATAATGGGATACCATAAAAAAGAGTAGCTAATTACTACCCCTCAAGTTACATATATAATTGAGAAATCAATGGGGATTCATATTTAATAAAATGTAATTGAAAATGATTGTTTTTTTCTTTCAATCATGATTGAAGTGTGAAGATGATTTACATTTTAACATTTTACACCACCAACATATTGTAAGAAGGAATACAAACTATAGAACAAATAGTTCTAAATTTATTGCTGTTTAATTCTGCTATTTAATAAACAAAATTAAAAAAAGTTTTTACAAATACAACTGTTAGTTTTTAAAAAATATTTTTTTTGTGTGAAACTGCGTAAATAGTGTTTTTGCTGTTACATTTAGACAAGTGTTTTAATTATGCAGAATTATTTAAATGCAAAGTTTTAAACCTATTTTTTAATATTTAAAGGTTCTTTTTAATAAAATACATTTAAATACATTATAGCAACTAATTTGAAATATTTTGTTACTAAACTATCAAAACTCTAACAAAATTTAAATAAACAGAAAAATAACAACAATAAAGCTAGAACTTACATGACTATATTAGACCTAAACAAATACAAAGTGTAAAGTCCTCTAAGTTTAGGGGATGTTCTAACAATAAACATTTATTTCATTTAGGCGGAAATTTTTATCGAATGTCAAACATTTAATTACCATTACAGTTTGATGCTCTTTCTTTTTGAAACAGTAGCACCACAGCATGGAATAAGGCTCATGTACATAAGTAAAGAAAAACAAATGTAGAGGTCTGTAGGTGTTCTTTCTTTCCAGTTAGTGTAGAGGTACTTGTTTTTTTCTTCTCTCATGTGGTTGGCATAAGCATTGGTGTAGTCAAAAATTTTCAACAAGATCTCCTGATAAAAAAATTGTTTGGAAAAAATTTCTTGTTGATGATAAATAGTTTATTTGTAAATTGCAGGTTAGCATGACATAAAAGCAGGATTTTATTGATCTAACACAGATATAAGAATAGTATAACAGTTATAATTATAATAATATAAATTATTATATAATGTTAGGATAAGAATAGTGACATTTTTTGCAAACATATTTATCAAGCATAAAATCTAAATAATAGGCCTAAGCCTATAGCCTATTCATTAGTACTACAATTATAATATAAACTATTTCTTATCTGGAGTTTTTAGTTTTTGCATCTCATTTCTTGGTTGCCTGCCCTTTCAGAATCCAGAATATTGAGACCAGGTTTTCATTTAGGGATACATTTATGTATGGCCCTGGTCAACATCTTCATATGTTATTAATTGTTATTTAAGTCCAAGTGAAGTGGCAATGTATTATCTGCACTGATTAGAGGGAAAAAACATATTTTAAAGATAAGGCTATATGAAAAAAATGCCGAATAACATATTTTAAAAAGAATAAATAAATATCGGCCAAAACGTCTACTCATTAGAGTTAGGCAAAACACAAAAACAATAACAACATTGAAAACTAAAATCAGCTGTTTGATCAGCTGATTATGTAAACAAAAACTTTTATTTTTAAAGCCATAACAGGATTTGAAAATAAAATTATCATTACAAAACTGTAAGATGATTACTAGGATCCTATTATTAAATAGCATAATATATTTTGTTGTTCAAATTATTTAGAAATGTTCATTTTATTGGCCTAATCATGTGGATACCTAGACTATTGAAACTGTACTTGTGTAGTTAAAGAAACATCCACAACTTCAACGGATGTTGTTTCAAATCCCGCTGTGTCCCTATCATCAGAAGAGTCACTTAGGGATTCAACTAAGTAAATTTCATTGTTTATCTAAGTCCATTTTGGATTTTAAAATTAGTTTTTTTGAAGCAGCTAGCTTGAGTCGAATAGTGACAAGAAAATAATTAGATACGTAGCGTAAACTCTTCTCGGTCGCATTCATTTAAAAACAAATTTTGTTTTAAAAAATTTATAATTATTTTTAAAAACTTAATTTTAAAAAGATAAACCCCTTTTACTAAAATAGTAATAATTTTATTTAACTATATAAAAAATTAATACCGGTATATTATATATTTATATTTAAAAAAAAAAGTTAGCTCCTCACCTTTCCTACCAGGTGAAAAGGCTAGATTTTACTATAGTTGGATCGTACAGAGTTAAGAAGGAATAGAAGGGAGTTCACGAATAAAGCAAACTATATATTAATTAAGTTGATTGAAATTACTGGTTTAAAAAATGAATAATTTTTCTGGCACACACACATGCATTAATTAAAATTAATATGTTCTCATTTTGGTATATTTTTTCTGATTAATGTTCACCTTTTAATGAAACATTCAAAACTTTTCCTGTTTTCTAAATAAAAATTCACATCACCCTATCATTAATAATCTTTTGAAATAAGGTTATAAATAGAATACAGTTAATACACTCCCATTTAAGAACTCAGACACATCAATTTTATTTGATCCAAAAGAGAAGTTCTACAATTTTAACCGCTTAAAACTTAACTTTCTAAATCAATTTAATTTATTAGAATAAAAAATAAAACAATGAAGGTTCATAACTATTTATTTACATCATATATCCAGTTTTATTAATAAAATACACTGATAATGAAATCCAGTTAGACATAGTGTCAGTTTTAAAATTGCACTAATCAAGATCTTGACCTTTTTATGTGCCAGTTTTATTAAGCGGCATCATTTTTTTATTTCCCCAAGCATGCATCACTCCAGGGAAACTGGTCTTCTTCTCAGTTCAGAAGCTACTAAGACTTGCATGTGATATGGCCATGTGACTTTTAGTTATTTAAAAAAATGATTGGGTTGTTTTGTTTTCATTCCCCAAATACTTAATTTTAATGATTTTATTTGAACCAGCCTGTAATCTTAATTTTCCATTCACTCATTGAGCCATTGCTCTGTAATTTCCTTTTCTAATCATCAAAATAACAGTTTCAGGTTCTTCATTTTTAAGCACTAATTGTCATAGCTTTGGGATAGAGTTAACATTTTAATGATAAAATGCTGCCAATTCTGCATTAGGAGTTAATTATTTAGATGTTTTATGTTAATGAACATGTTGCCTGGTTACAGTGTTGTTTTATTTTTTAAAGCTCCCAAAGGCATTGCTTATAACTTATAATTCGTTTTTTAGTAAAATAAGGTATGTTAAAGATATATATTATTAAAAAATCCATCACACTTGATTTATGTATGGTAAAAAATGTGCTGATGCATACAGAAGTAACTTAAATCTAAATGAATCAACTTGGCTAGTGATTAAAGACAATCTGAAAAAAAATATTTTTATATATCTATTGTTATCAGTTCCCAACTTATTGTCAGATGCCTTAGAATGAGATAATATTTTACTGCACTTGATAAATTTTATAACTGTCTCCAAATGATAAAATCTGAGTAAATGATAAAATTACACATCACCCTGATAGTTGTAAGCCTTGTCTGCTTCAATAAATGCGGTATCAGATTAATTAACCTTGTTTGCATTTAAAAAATAATTACAGGAAACAAAGTTTTCTCTGTCTCTTTAATGATTATTTTCCTCTACTTACAGAGCAGGGAGCCATGTCCATAAAACTGGTCTCCGGCGGTAGTTATAATGTGCGAGCGTCTGAAATGGCGCATATTCAGGACCGCACACCCAAGGCTGTTAACTGTGCTGTCCACTTTCTGGATGACACAGTGGAGACCTTTGAAGTAGATGTTAGTTGGCGCCTTTATTTTACATAAAAACATTCATATATAATTTTATTTGACTACATACATGCAAATATTGAAGAAGTGCTTTTAACCATAATTATGCAACTTTCAAGCATTTGGATGTATCCCTAAAAAATTATAATTTTGGGTTTGGTATTAGGTAGGGAATGTTTTTATACCAACAAATATTAACAATAAATTTACAAATTGATAGTTTTCTGACTGCAATTTTTTAATCTTGAAGCTTCAGTTTATAATTATTTCTTTAATTGAATTCATCTTGGATGCTATTAATATTTTTTTTTGTCTAGAAACGAGGCAAAGCGCAACAACTGTTAGAAAAAGTGTTTGAACACTTAGAGCTTGTTGAAAAGGATTACTTTGGCCTCCAATATATGGACTTAGCACCAGGAGATGACACTTTGGTAATATTTTTTACTCTTATCTATTTTAAAATTTCTTTTTTAAGTGTAAGATTAAAAAATGTCACAATATAAATTATAATTTTTTTTTTTAAAGGAATATATTGGTCATCTCCAATCTTTGATTACTGATATTTTCAGAGATGGCTTGATCCCCTAAAAACAATAAAGAAACAATGTAGAGGTAAGTGTTCTTTACAAGCATAAAAAACCCCCCAAAAAATCAAAGCCTTTAAAAACATTTAATTTTGCCTAACCAATTTGCTGTTTATTAGTCAAGTGCTCACAATAAATGTCATAGGCAAAATAATATAATAAAAAAAATCAAAATTGAATGAAATAAAAATAATAAGAAAGAAAAACCAGAATTTAATCACTTGAAAGTGAATTTTCATAGCAATACCATTGTGATTTTTAGCAATTTCTCTAGCTGTAATCTATGCCTTTCACCTTAACTGGAACCTCAAGGGAATATGAGATTCCAAAGCAAACTAAAAATTGTGTTTTGTCACGTAAGTCCACAGAAGTTGTTGCTGCATTTACAAGATTAATGAAAAATTTGCCTGAGGAAGCAAAATTTGTATTGCTGCCTGTCTCAACTACACATCTCTGTGAAGCAAAATTCTCAGCCTAAGCAACTACCAATACGAAATATAGCCGTCGCTTAAATACATAACCAGACATTTGTCTGAAATTATCACCTATTGAAAATGATAAAACTGCAAATTAATAGGACCCCATGTGTCTCTTTAAAAATTATATTATGTCATTTTTTTTTTTTTTCAACCCTCTCTGTAACGCTACTCCTAAGCCTAAGCACCATCAATATGGGGTAGGTTTAACACTCACCGCCCACCCTCCCCCATAGTCATTGAATCTAAAAATTGGCTCTGAAGTAAAAATGTTTGGCATCTAATACAATTCAAGTCCTTTACATATGACAAAACTACATTCATTTATTGTGACTTGACCACATAAGCCAGCGGTCAGAAAATTTATTAATCAGGCTTGTTATATATTGGTCTCTAATTTTCTATTGTGTCTTTTATGATTACTTAATTTTTTTAAATGATATATTTTTAATTTACATATTCACGTATATATAACTTTTGTAGATAGGTAGAGGTATAAGTATCTATTAAAGTTGAAATGAAATCGCTAACTTAATTTTTTACAAAATCCAAATGAACATTCATCAAAGTTGAACGGATTAAATTTGTTAATTCTCTTTATTTTGGGTAAAATTAACATATTCTTACTGCCATCTTGCTTATCATGATGAGTATGGAAATTAATCTGTTCCTCTTGCTTATTCATTACTTTACTATATTTTAAAACTTTACCACAGTTTGCTTAGGGGCCATCCAAAAATGATGTCACACGTCTAGGGGGGAGGGTCACATTTTTGTGACGATATGTGACAAGGTTGAGGGGAGTTTAAGCAATGTGACTTAACAGGGGAACATTATAGTAGAGACTTTGATAGAAGTGAGAATTAATGTTGAAATGTGGAGACAGGAAGGTACCATGTGAAGTGGGATGGAATTTAAAAAAAAATTGGGGTAGTGGGTGTTTGAGCTTAGTGAATGCTCTAGGGAAGGGATTCTTAACCTTTTTGCAGCGCTGCTGCCCCACTCCTTTTTAAACACAACAGCCCCCCCCCCCCTTCCCTGTATAAATTATATTGTAATAAAATCTAAAATCTGTTATATATATTACGCTTCTGGTGCGACTTGTGGACTGCTTCCTAATGGACTGCTTCCTATTGAGCGAATTGGGTATTGAGAGTATATGACAAATAATTCTAAATTTTTGAAAGAAATTATGATTCAATAATGAGTTCAACAGGGTGTAAAAAAAAAAAGAACAAAAACAAATAATGTCATGAATTTTTTTTCAGGTCCTGTATATGATTTCTACTTCCGTGTAAAATTTTATGTGTCAGATCCCAGCAAATTGGCAGAGGAGTATACAAGGTATCTCTTAATATATGAACAGCTTATCTGAATTACCTTGTATTAATAGTGTATTATTAATATTAGCTCTTGTTTGTTTTTTTAATTTTTGACAACAAGAAACAGTAAACATATTTTATTTGTCAAGACAGTGGTTTATTGTGGACGATTCAATTTTATTTTAAATCAGTAGTTTCATTTGTGTCTTTCAAACACATTAGAATTAAATGGCATTATATTTCTGAAATTATTTGAGTGTTGCTATGATTATTTGAGTGTTGCTCTGACTCAAAATCTTATTGTATTCTAGAAATACTTGTCACTTAATAAGGTATTTAGAATACTCCACCTCTTTCTTTCTTATCTTATGTTTGTGTGTGTTTCAGATATCATTTTTTCCTTCAAGTGAAGCGTGACATTCTCTCAGGAAAATTGGTATGTTCGGAGACTAATGCTGTTATGCTTGCTGGTTATGCTGTACAATGTGAGTAAAATTCTTATAGCTAGTTTTAACTTTTCCTTTTGTTTGTTTTCTAATTGGGGTTTCTTTTTTAAAAAAGTTAATACAAGCTTCTGAGATTTTTTTTCAAATAATTTTTCAGCTGAATTAGGAGATTTTAATCCAGAGGAACACAAAGAAGGATACTTAGGAGAATTCCTATTTATCCCTGACCAAACTAAAGACTTTGAAAAACAGGTTGCAGAAAAACACAAACAACACAGGTATTACATCTTTGTAATAACAAAAAAATGTATACTATTTTTTAAATCACCATTTTACACTTGAGCTATCCATTATCTAAAAATGTGAGTAACATAGTGTTAAGAGAAGAATATATAGCAGATTTTATTTACTTGAGTCAAGACAAATGAGTAATTGAACTATTTTTCTTGACTGTTCTGCTATTTAGGGGTCAGACACCAGCGGATGCGGAATCTCTTTTTTTAGAAAGAGCCAAGAGATTAGAAATGTATGGAGTGGATTTACACAATGCAAGAGTAAGTTTACTGAATTTTTTGTCAGTGCTTTATCTTCAATCAATTTTCATTTTCAAATGGTAAAAAGAATTGTCTTGATTAAAAAAATTTTTTTCTTTCTTTAATCATCAGGACCAGAGTAATATAGATATACAGCTTGGTGTGACCTCTGCAGGACTTGTGGTTTTTCAAAACAATATTAAAATCAACACTTTTTCTTGGTAAGTTAGTGCAATATTTAATTCCTCAGGAAAAATATAGGTGTATTCTGCAAAGTGCAATAATAACTATCTTTTCAATGGCAATACATGTTGAAAATTTTCCACTGATGTTTATTAATAATAATAATAAAATATAAATGTGATTAAAATCTCTGAAATGACCTGTCTTTTTGGCTTATGGAGAGCAATACTAAGGGAATGAATTTGTCGTCATTCATTTGAAGAGTAATGAAGAAAGCTATAACAGTTTGCAGTGTATTATTTTACTATTTTAGGTAGTAGAATTTAGTCAAATGTTTTTTTTAATGATATATATTTGATACAAAAAATGAAGTTAATCTCATAACTTCTAAATACTACAGGAATTAGCATCTTTTAATTTTCAGGGCCAAGATAGTCAAAATATCATTTAAAAGGAAACAGTTCTTTATTCAATTAAGGAGAGAGGTATGTCAATGTGTTATTTAATATTAGATTGTCAAACAATGATTTGAGTTGTGTTCTTTTTGTGCATGATTTCTCAAATGTTTAGATATTCCTATTTTTTATCATAAAGAAAGAAAGATCCACTGAGTCAATTATTGTGAGAAATTGTTTTTGACTTTATTCCATGGAGGACATTTACTCAAAAGAAAGGCTTTGTCATGAATTAACTGACTTGGTTTTAGTATAAAATGAAATTGTGACTTGTTTTCACGTGTTCATTGATTGCATTATAATTTTTTCCCTGTAATTGCTGACAAAATTTATGAACTTGAATGGTTTTTATTTTGTATTCGGGATTTATCGGTGTTTCAGGTAGCAGATAGCGTAGAGGATAATGATGGCAAGGGAGAGAAGTCACAAGTAAAACCTTGTTTGTTTTGTTAGAACTTATTTTCTTTTGTTTCATTATATTAAGAAAGAACCAATACAAAATGTGCACTCGGCTTTACCATTAAGAGCAGGGACTTATTGCCCAGCTGTCTGTCATCAGATTAGTTGTTACTAATGCATCTGCTAAGGTCTTGCCTCATTAATGTTGCTTGAAATTTTGTTTATCAGCTTCCGTTTCTATTTGTATTGTTTTCTTGTCCTTTAAAAGGAATTTCCTTTCAGTTTCCTGTAAATCATCTGCTTGGACTGACAATCTGTAATTTTAATAAAGTATTTCATTGTGTTGAAATGAATTCAATCTTTTTGGTGGTTGACTTAATAATAGTAAAGCTTGAAATTGATGTTTTCACTAATAAATGCAGAAAAAATTACAAAGGGCTTGGCTTTCATGGTTTGTTTACTTTTACAGTATATGGTTATGAAAAGAATTTTGCTTTTTAAACAATTTTATACATTTAATTTTCTCATGCCCATATTCATACATTTAGTTTCGGTCACAAAATGCACTAAAAATAAACCAAAACATATACTTTCATCAGAGTATTGTATGTTTGGTACCATGTATTTTTGGCTGTTTTTTAAAATTTATGTTATATCTGTTTATATAGAGATTTGCATGTTCATAAAAATACATTTAAAAAAAATCAGTGCATGATAAAGGCTTTGTTTTTTAAAGTGAACACATTCAAAAGTCTACTTATGCTGATTAGCTTGTTTTTTGTCCCATCATGCTATAACAAAATTAAGTTATGGCATCAAGTTATTTTGTTATTTTCCTTAATTTAAGAAATTATAGTTGAGACTGTAACTGTTAAAGGTTGATTTGTTTGCATGGATATTGTAATGTGCACCATGAATGTATCATTAATATATGCTAGCACACTTTAATATGTTAAAATTTCAACTTATATATGCTGGCAGAATATATGTTTAGCTTGTTCTTTGCTTTTGATCGTAGTTAGTATTCAAATTTTTTTTTTTTTAAATCTAAGACAAGAAAGAAATAATATTTATAGCTCTTAATTTGCACAGACCCTTACATTTTAAAACTAATTCAAGGACATGAAGGCTATTGCTTATTAATTTAGTGTGATTTGACAAACATGTTTTAGTTATTTCATAATTTAAATTGCAGTATTTTCATTAACATTTTTTTTTTATTGGGTAGGTGCAAAGATTTTTCACTTATAGTTATCCATACGAATTGAACAATGTAGAGCAATGGCCTAAATAGATGTCATTTGTGTTGATCCCTTCCTGTCATAAAAACACATTTGTAAAATGCCCTTCATCTTTTGTAATCCATCCTTAGTACTTGAATGAGTTAATTTTTTGACTATTTAAAATAAAAATTGTGAAGTGAAAAAACGATTCAAATACATAGTTTTAGCAGAGAGAAAAAATTCCAATTATAATTCTTCTCAATTTTTAAAATTACCATTTTGATTGTCTTTTTGAGCATGCATGCACTTTTTTAAAACATAAGTTTGTTTGAATCCATATGCATGCATTATGGTTTTCTATTTTTTACCTTTTTTTTTTCAGAATGAGCCAGTAGAGAATTTAATAGGTTTTAACATGGTTAGCTACAGATCCTGTAAAAACCTGTGGAAATCATGTGTTGAGCATCACACATTTTTCCGATTACACCATCCCAATCCACCTTCCAAAAAAATATTTACCATGGGATCTAAATTTAGGTACAGGTAGGTGAATCTTGACTTCTTTATTTTTTTGAGATACCTAGTTATTAACTAAATTAGGGAGATGGTTGTTTTTTTTAAAATTTCCCTTTGCACAGAAATATCTAATACATTGTATAAATTTTGAATGCTTTAAGTTAATTAGAAAGGGAATTGTTGGATTTTTGTGGCATTTTAGTCCAAGCACTGGATTTTACAGTAGCGTAATAAATCATATTTTAAACGACTAAGTGCTTTTGACTCCATTTTCTCTGTGACATCATTTTCTACCAATTCATGACATCATCATATCATTATTATTGGTAAGCTCTCATTTGAATCACTTTATTTATTATTTTCTTGTTGTCAGACTTTCCTCTGTAAGCTTTTTTTTTTGTTGCTTTATTTTGTTTTGTTCCTCTCAAATCACTTTGAATTTAAAAAAAAAATGAAAAATGAAAGCACCCCTTAAAATTTGCTTTGAGCATCTAGTGTGTTTTATGCTGGTGTAAATCTGTCATTTATTTTATTTTAATTTTTTTTTTCTTCCCTTCTAGGATGAGGTTTGGCTGTTTATATTTTAAGTGTGGCCACCATTTTTTAATTTATTTTCTCAGTTAATGTGTCCAATAATAACTCTTGAACCTGGTTTATTGTTTACAATCACAGACCATCTAACTGTATTCTCTGTTAATGTGTGACCCTGGTATCATAGGGTTAAACAGATAGAGCTGAAACATCTAAAGGAGGGGGAGAATTTGGGTTCCTGCCTATTTTAAAATGCCAGCTGGTGCAGCTATCATAATTCGCATTATGTTAGGACATGCGCGACCTTCATTGATTTGACACCAGCTGTATAATGAACGTGAAATAAAGAAACACCATTATCCCTGTTGAGGTCTTGTATGGCTCTGTGTGCTCAAAAGAAGATAAAGCCAATAAAATTTTCAATGAATAAAATGTACCACATCATACTTTCATTCACAGTTTAAAAAAAAAAAAATGGATACATTTCATTTGTTACTTATTTGCATGATGGGTTGGCTCACAAATAATTGTCGCATTCTAGCTTTGAGCGGATCATTTTAAGTTGTGTTTGGGGGTGACGGGTGTTTGACCAAGTTTTACCCAAGGTTTGGAAAATGTGTTAGTGAATTAACAAGTTTAACCGCCACATTGTAACACATGGCGCTTTATTGTGTGTCTGGGCATGGAACCCAATTTTGATACACTACCATACTTTGACCCTCCCATGATATATTTCTTTTCAAATAATATGAAACTAATGTGGTGCCAGTTATTAATACTGTATTTCTCACTTAATCTCTTCAACATAATGTACAGCCTTTCATTGTTGTTTGAACTTATTATAGTATAGACTATTTTATGACTAAAATTTTCTAAATGAGAAAGGGACTGAAAGAACTCTTGCACTCAAAGCTCTGCTATCACAAAACCAACCCCACCCCATTTAATTTCTTGTTTCATCAAAATTATTTCCATATCAATCACATAGGAATTATGAAAAGAAAAAGATGTTTACCAGGGTTTGACACATTTTTTTGCCTTTAGTGAGTAGCGTTATTATTAAGACAAAGGGAATCATGCTTTAAAAGTTCATTTGAAATACAATTGTTGATATTTGGCTGTGTAGCATTAAATTTTGAGAAGCACAGGATGAGGCTAATGTCCTGTCTGCGCTGTACATTATGTTTGAGAGCAGTCAGTGTTGTCCACCACATGCTAGTTTAGAAACTCACATACACGACATGTATTTGTTGCAGTGGTAGAACAGAATTTCAAACATTAGAAGAAAGTAAACGAAGGGCCAAAATAGAGAGGCCTTTTTCAAGGTAGGCTTCTAGAAGTCATGTCACTTTTTTCCTCAATCCATATTTTGTTTATATTAATTTGTTTTTATTCTGTTTCTAGAGCTCAGTCAGTCTTTATATTTCCGTTTCTAAAGCTGTTATGTTTTTTTTCCACACCTCTACTCTTTTTTTCTTTTGTGTCCTTTAAGCTTTGTGCACTATATAGATTACTTAAGTTAAAAAAAAACATATCACCTTAATTCTACCAATTAGTGTGTGCCATCTGTTACTGCCAGAACTATTAAAAAAGCATCAGAAATATTCTTTAACATGGTATTTTGAAAAACGCCTCTCATTGTAATTGGTTTTATATTACTGGGCTATATAATGCCAATGATGGACCATTATTTATATATTTAGTCCATACATTTTTTAAATTTGGAGCATTATCTTACCGATCAGCTATGATTACTAAGTTCTGTTGCATGCGTGTATTAATATTGAATATTTGCATTGCTTTTAACATTGCTTTTATATTTGTGTGCTTGTATATTATACTTTAAAATGTTTACACAAATCAAGCTAATATTTAAAAATATTTTTACACTTATATTTCCCCCCATGACCTTAATTAAAAAGGGAGCGGAAGATGGATTATTGAAGCTTAAATTTGCTCTTTGGTCCTATACAAAAAAAATGATATCTATAATTAAAACCATAACTTTATCAGCTTTACCAACTCATTCCAGCAAAACATAACTATTTAATGGAGAACATTTTGCACACTACATTTGCTATTGTTTGCTTGCTTGTTGCTTCAATAATGCTCTTTGGTCATTGGCTTTTCCTCATGTTCCTTTGCACTGGCTTGCTTTGTCTTGTTTATTTTAGTTTTTTTATTGGAGCTTTTGGGGCTTTATAGAGTGGAATGCCATATTCTCATTTGCTTACTTAATTAAATACCATCTTGTTTTAATATGTAGATTTTCTATATAAACTTGATTAAGACTTATTACGTTAAGCTGTGAGTTTTCATTTCAGCTAAATTCCTTTAGAAGTCAATATTCTGTTTATAATAAATATCCTGTAATTTTTACTAGCTTCATAAAATCTTAAAAGCGTTCAGTAGAGTGAAAAATTGTAAAAAATCTAAAAATCATGTTAGATTTATCTTTTGTAGTTGATACAACTCTAAAGCAAAACTGACCTCATGGATCAGGGCTTCTAAATGATTGAATTCTCATAAATGAGTATGAACAATGCTGGATTTAATAAATAACAAGTTCTTTGTGTACACATTAGAAAATTGAAACAAAATTAAAATCAGTTTATATAATGTGACTTGAAGGTTATATAATTTTTATTACCCGTCATTCTAATTGAACCTAATAAGTTATCTTATTTAATGGTATTAATGCAAATATTTCAATACATGTACGTAATGGTTCAATATAAAAGATGTTGCATTTATATTCTTGTTGAGTTTGAGAAGCACAAGCCTCAAATAATTGTTCAACTTTTCTGTCAACTTTTGTGCTTTGTCTATATAGTTCTCATGCTGAGTTAATTTTATGCTGTGAATTCAGTGGATTTCTAGATAGCAACACAGCACTGCTAATTAAAAAAAAACCCCACTAAAAGCTAGGCAACCATTACAAGTTAATGAAAGTATTTATTTACCTGTTTTATTGATTTTAAATATTGTTTTCTGTTACTGTATTAGCTGTACTATTTACTTCAGTGAAAGATTTAGTGCAATAATAGGCAGCTTTTGAATGAGATTAGCTAGTTATATTCATTATGATTGATGCATTAGAATAGCTAGTGATGTTGCATGATATACAAAAAGCATAAAATATCTCATGTTTTATTGCTGCATATGATCACACCTCTTACTTGATACAAATACATTACATTTTAAGACCTTCATGTAACATGTTTATTAATTTTTAAATAAATTGTTTTGACAAGTTTGATCAACTTTGACATTACTCTCCCATTAAATTTTTCTAGATCTCCAAGTAAAAGGTACAGAAGAACTGTGGGGGCTGTGTCTAGGGAAGCAATCCTAGAAGAAAACCGCTACATTGAAGGCTACCGGCAGATGTCCAAATCTCAAACATTCTCAACCAATTCTAACAGCAGTAATAATGCGACCAGTAGCAGCAGCAGTGCCACCAACACGAGCACAGGAAACCATGCCTTCAGCAGACACGATGGCGTCTCTGGTCAGGTTAGGGCCACACTGCCACATGACTACAAGACAGGAAGGACTTCATGGAATGATGGGAACCAATCAGAGAAGTCAGAAGAGTAAGTACACTGCTCGCTATTTAGTTATAGCTTGTTTCTACTGCTATCATACATGCATGTTCTGTTGCATGCTGTAAAAGTATTATAAAGGCTGTCCAATTCTTTGTTGACCTGTTGATTCATTTTAAAAGATCTTGACTTGCTGATGCAGAATGGTGCTCGTTTATAACAAAAAGTCTTTTATTTTACCTTATCGATGATATCATTTTAAGGAGACACTTGCTTATGAGGTCACTCAGCCTCTTTCATGACACAATGTAGAAAAATATCAGTATTCTAAATTAAATGTTTTGGACACTAAAAAGCTTGTGGTTTTGACATGACCATGAGGTGACTAAATGAAAACAATGACCACCACAAACAAGTGTAATACAGCTAGATCTAACCCTTAAATGTTTGTCGCAAATAGAAATGGAAAAAAATCTTATCATGTTAGTAAAACTATGCCCTCTCTAAATGCAGATTTTAGCTTATAAAGATAAACATTTAAATAAAAAGTTTTATTTATGTAAGAGTAAAATTTATCAACAATTTTATTTTTACCATTGGTCATCTAATGTATTTTAAAACAATTGAAAAAAAAATATTATGGCTCATAAAATGCTTAGACATGGTTCATCACAAACAGCGATCAACCATTGATTTTCACTCAGGTTAAATCTTTCATATGAATTATTAAAAAAATGTGCAGCAGTTAATGAATTGAGAAAGATAGTCCTGGTGAATGAGCTGCCCCGCAGGATTTAGATTTGTAATGATACTAAAAATAAGATGTACAAATGATATGTATACATTTGAATGAAAGATCTGATAAGATTCTGTTAATATATGAAACATATCTGTCATTGTAAGCAATTGTATCTGTCATCAGCTTTAAATAAATCTGTCATCAGCCACTGCCCATATCTGTCATCACCCACTGCCAATATCTGTCATTAGCCACTGCCCATATCTGTCATCACCCACTGCCAATATCTGTCATTAGCCACTGCCCATATCTGTCATCACCCACTGCCAATATCTGTCATAAGCCACTGCCCATATCTGTCATCACCCACTGCCAATATCTGTTATTAGTCATTAGCCACTGCCCATGTCTGTCATCACCCACTGCCAATATCTGTCATCAGCCACTGCCCATATCTGTCATCAGTCATTAACCATATCTGTCATCAGCCACTGCCAATATCTGTCATCAGTCATTAGCCACTGCCCATATCTGTCATCACCCACTGCCAATATCTGTCATCAGCCACTGCCCATATCTGTCATCACCCACTGCCAATATCTGCCATCAGCCACTGCCCATATCTGTCATCACCCACTGCCAATATCTGTCATTAGCTTCACTTATCTCTTATCAGCTGCTCCCTATGCCCGTCACTTATTTCAATGACACTAACAATAAAGCATGTTTGCGACAATTAATGATATATGAGGCCATCACAGAGCCATCCAGCTTGCGAGCAGGATGGCTAAACCTGATTAAGCTGCGGCGTTAATAATGTAGTGGGCCTGGTAGTTGACAAGCAGATCATTGGAGCCCAAAAGATCAGACTTGGTAAGAGTGCAGAGATGAAGTGCTCTCAAGGTTCTTTTAATTCCTTAAGTATTGTGATAGGAACAAGAAGAAATCAATGCTAGGTTTTATCCCCAATGATTGATTTTAATGGGGGTAACGGCTATGAGCAAACTATCACTATCATGGAGAGATTTGATGGGCAAGTACTTGATGCTGAGATATATTAATTGTGAGAGACTATATCTCTACTGGCATTTCCATCTTGTGGACTGCAATCTTGTGTGTCAAGCCTAATCTGTTTGTTTATACACGTGTCATTTAAGATTTTCTTCTGCGGTGTTCCAACAAATCATTTTGTCATTAAAAACGTCTTTTTTTGTTATAGCACGCATTCATAAGAATATTTGAGACTGAGTAAATATGGCAATTGAATATAATGTGTAGCTTCAAGTCTTAAAAATGACCTAACCAAAAGTCAACTAAAAAATGTATAAGCAATTTTTACATTTAATTTGCCTCAGCCACTTCCCATGATTTGTACAAAATAATGTCCAAGTTTTGAAATGTCCAGATGTATCTGTCCACCCTACTTCCTGCTGGCTAGAATTCAATTATGATGCAAGGCCATTGATCAGTTCCTTAAATATCTCGAATATATCAAATTAAGTTCACAATAAAGGCACCCACAGACAACAACAAGCCAATAAATAAACACATAAAAACGCAACAATTTCACTAAGGTTTCATTAATGTTGTTTACTTTTTGACGGAATGGAGAGAGAGAGTCTTTACAGATGGGGCACAAGCCTTAACAAACAAAAACAAATAGGTTTAAAATGTTTTCTACATCAGTTTTTCATGTTGCACAAAGAGCTTATTTTATTCTTTATAAGCATTGTTAATGGCTTTGTGTACATCTACAGAACACGTGTATTTTTACCTGGCCAAATTTTAATAACTTGTGTGTACCTTTATCTTCTGACTACTTTCATAAAGCTTAAATTCTCTTCTAGGATGCAAGTTTTAGTCAACAAAGAAAACCATGATTTCGTCTGTATTTTTAAATTTCACAAATATACAATTTTATCTGCTATCCTTAACAAAATATAGGCTTTACATGCAACCGTCAGAGGTCTACTCAACATGTAACTAATATACAAAAGGTGGCTATGACATTCCCCATTTAACTTACATTTAGATGGTTTTTAATTGATGACTCCAAGCAGTTAAACATGTTCTCATAATTATTTTTCCATAGAGTAATCTCATTTCAAATGATATCATTCATTAACCTTCATTACACAAATAAATTAACCACTGCCTCTATCCAAACATCTTTCTACTCTCTTAGATATCATTATTTCTTTCCACCATACACCTACATTTTCGCACCCTGCACCTACATTTTCCCACCCTACACCTACCTTTTCCCACCCTACGCAAATCTTTCCCAACCTGAATCTTATAATTTCCCACCCAAAACCTATATTAATTAACTTGAAGCCTATATCTCCCCACCTGAAGCCTATATCTCCCCACCTGAAGCCCATCTCTCCCCACCTGAAACCTATCATTCCCCACCCAAAGCCCATCTCTCCCCACCAGTGACCACTTCATTTCCACCCTATGGTCCCAATCTTCAATCACACGGAAACATCTTTCCTACCTCAACGATTCATGACTTACCCACCCCAAAAGTAATTCTCTTTAACATAATAATCACCATCACTCATCAGAGTCCCAATTCAATGTACAGTCCTTTCTATACCTGATCAGAACAGCAGTGTTCACGATAACAATCAGCATAAATACACCGGTATAAGCATCTATGATTTAATCTATTACATTGACCACAGCTCCCAATGCCGCCAAAAAGTTTTAAATTAAAAACAAAAAAGACAAACTTGATGTCGAATGTTATTTAAAAGTGCAACCAACGAGATGCTTTTATCGAGCTTTGTTATTACACCATCCCAGCAGTGCACACTTAAAAAGGGCATCCCACTGGAGGCTTTGTTATTAAATGTGCTGTGCCTAATCAATGCCGTTGTCATGTTGTCTAGAAGTGCATAGCCGATTTGCCTGGAAATAGCCAAAACAATGCCGCATGGTCCACCGCCGCTTGAACTTGTAACATGCCAACCCCTGGCGACAGTCGCTGCGTCATTTATGCTGTTGATGCGTTGCCTGTAGTTTTGTTTGGACTCTAAGAATCTATTTTTACTACCAAACATAGAGTGCTGTTAAATCATTCTCAGCCTGCCATGACTTTCCAATAAGGTTCATAGATTTTACCCACCAACTGCCCAAAAATAAATAAAGAAGTTTAAAAAATAAATAAATTAAAAAAAATTGGAAAATGTTGGGGTTATGTCCGTGAATTTAATGTAATCAGATAATGCTGTAAGTTTAAGGAAATCAGAGGCTTACTGCTGATCTCTCGGTTGAGTTAATCGCGCCTTCGTTAAAAAAAATAAGCCTCATTAGATTCGAGTTCTTATATCCTTCATTGGCAGTCTCAATGACACAAAAGTTTGGGGAAAATAAAGGAACGGAACTTGAAAACACACACACAAACCTACTTAATTACTTGCTGTGCGTTATAAACACATGGTTATTTTGTCGATAGTGCCATTAATGATAGATCTCCACCCCTTCTCCATTTACGCGTTTTACGGTAACACGGCCCCCGTGCATACAACTTGGTTATACAGGGGACCTACTATGTTCTTGTGATTCAGTGTTGCTGTAAGGCGGGCCATTGATGCAGGTTGATTAATTGATTGAATTGTGTGCAAGCGTATTGGTTCGAACTGTGGTCACTGTAGAGCACGAGAGACACGGTGTGATATTTCCGCATCGTTTAGCACGCTTAGGTCTGTTGGGGCTCTAACACAATGGTGACTAATAGCGCGAAATAAAGTTAGTTGATCAGATTTTTGTGTGTGTATGCTGGTATTGAGTTTTAAGTTCAAGGAACATAATGCGATTGGGGACGGGGGTGGGCAGGGTACTGAATTTTATGGGTAGAATAGGCTACATGGATTTATCGATTGTGTCAAAGCTGCCAACTTCCCCCCCCCCCCCCCCCAAAAAAAAAAAAAGGCGGAGACAACGTAAACGCCCATTAACACTAGACTGTTAAAATGACCATCACTAAACATAAATGGGCTTTGTGATTCGATTTGATTGATTGTTGGTAGAGGTGGCGGTTTTGGGATAGTGCACTGGCCGTAAACATTTGTTATGATGAATAATGAAAGATGTCATACCATTTTCAGAGTAACTAAATCATTACAGATCAGAAATGAGCGCCTACATTTTTTACCGCTGAAGTTTTAACATCGCTATTTGTGTCGTGTTTGTGTGTGGCCTAACGACCAACAATGTGGCTTCATACGTTGGACTTGGACGTGTGCGACGACGTCAGTCTCTTCAAGTTCTGCGGATATTTGTTTAACGATGGCATTCTGGAGTTGCAGAAATTGTGGACAGAAATTACACAAAAATTATCAGACTCCACGTCCCGTTTGGTTTACCATGGTTTCATGCTATCTTAAAAGTTCAACTTGTGTTTATATTACAGCGCTTTATGTAGTCACATTAATGTTGGTTACATTTTAATTTTTAGCTCCTAATAGTAGCACTACATAAGTTGAGCCGAGTCATGTTAAGTATTTCATTCAATTGTTCATATGGAGGGGCTGGGTAAAAGTGTGTGAATAAATGATTGCCTGTGACAAGTGAAAATGTCACAGCCGGCGTTGGACAAATGACGATCGGATGAGTTGAAACTTGTGCCGGTATCGTTGGGACGAGAGAGGCCATGTTGCCGTTCCTCTGATCCTAGCCATCGGAGAGAAAATTGAACCCCCGGGTCGCCTTATACTCTAGCTAATTTCTTCCATTTACGTCCTCCCGCGTTCTTTTACTTTGACCATCATCCTCACATTTGAGCAAGGCCTGGTCAATAAATAAACCTGGTTTGGTGGTGGTGTTCAAACCTGTTTCTCAGCCCACTACTTCAAGACCTTTTGGAGAGTGCTGGGTACTCCCATTCCCAACACCCAACCAAAAGAAATTTTTACCTAGTTGGGATAAAAGTAGATTTAACTTTGTTTAGCTCGTAGCCCTCTTCCTTTGAGCTCTTTTAATTTCATATTGGACGGTGTGCTTAAAAGTCTCTACGTTTTGAGAGACACTGGCTTACAACACAGCTGTAAGGTGGGAGGGGGGTGAAATAGTTAATGGGTAAGCCCGGGACGTACTGGAATCACTTTGCGGACGGATAATGGTGGTGTGGTGTTCATGTTAAGTAGAGCTGTCACCCGTGGGTCGTGAGTTGAAATATCCGCACATGATTCTATGGTGCCGATGTTGGGAGGTTTGTGAGACCACAACAGTTAACCCGTGTGTAAGGGGAACTTTTTCGTCATCGTGATTTATGGTGACCCATTCAAGAAGGTATTCGAATTGATCAAGTGTAGTTACTCGGGTCGATTGTCATTGAATGGATTGTGGCAGTGTTCCCGGAGAAGTCCCTTTAACATGTACAAACATTGTCATTTGTGTTAAGAGAACAAAGTTTTGCTTGGCTTTATTACTTTGATGTTTATTTGAAATGTTGGGAAACACGTTGAATCAGATCGTCATATGTATTTAAAAAGAACCCAACAACAATATATTTAACGTTCGTAGAAACATGGCAGTTATTTGCTATCAACTTCTCTCTTCCCCACCATGTTTTTTTTTTTTTTTTTTTTTTTTAACACAGGCTGGGTTTTTTTTTTTTTTTTTTTATTTTTTTTTAATAAAATTTTTTTTTTTTTTTTTTTTTTTTTTTTCCCCTACATTTTTTTTTTTTTTTTTTTTTTTTTTAACACGAGACTGCGTATTTGCTTTTTTAAGTAAATGTGCTTTAAATAAAAATCTTTTTTTTTTGAGAATGAGTCCCTTTTTAATTCAAGGCTTTTGATAGTCTTAAGGACATGACCAGCTTGGGATTTTCGGAGTGTACTTTGACAGCAGATGTCCAATCTCTTTCTGTGTCGATGCATTCCAATGTTGAAGTCCAATCCTTTGGTCAATTACGATCATTGGCTTGACTTTCCTAGTTAATACAATATTGCTAATAAATATTTGAGGCACAGCTGACTTAAAAAAACATGCACCATCATCCGAGCGAAAGCTCCTCTTTTCAAATTATATGTGTTAGTTTTGGCGTTTTGAGAAAATTAAATCTGATAGTGTAAACATGTTTCGTTATATTGTGTTTTGCTTCAAAATGTATAGTGAGAAAACAGTTCAATTCGCTAATTTATCAGCTCATTGACTACATGTCATTACACGAGCCACAACACCCTACCTTGTTATTATAGTTACCAAGGTATGAATGACAACAAAGTCCTTTCATTATGCTACTTGCTTTCGTTGACGTCATTATAAAGGCATACCGTATCGCTTTTGGTTTTTAGTTTCATCCATCACGCGGCGAAAGAAAATGTGTTATTCTTTGTTCAGCGGACCAGATGCCTCAACATATATACATTGGTTGCTGGGAGGATAAGATCGTAAGACTGGAAACAACACACCGTAAAAAAAAAAATCTGGTCTCTCAGCTTGTTATACCTGGTCTCTCAGCTTGGTATACCTGGTCTCTCAGCTTGGTATACCTGGTCTCTCAGCTTACCTGGTCTCTCAGCTTGGTATACCTGGTCTCTCAGCTTGGTATACCTGGTCTCTCAGCTTGTTATACCTGGTCTCTCAGCTTGGTATACCTGGTCTCTCAGCTTGGTATACCTGGTCTCTCAGCTTGGTATACCTGGTCTCTCAGCTTGGTATACCTGGTCTCTCAGCTTGGTATACCTGGTCTCTCAGCTTGGTATACCTGGTCTCTCAGCTTTGTATACCTGGTCTCTCAGCTTGGTATACCTGGTCTCTCAGCTTGGTATACCTGGTCTCTCAGCTTGGTATACCTGGTCTCTCAGCTTGGTATACCTGGTCTCTCAGCTTGGTATACCTGGTCTCTCAGCTTGGTATACATGGTCTCTCAGCTTGGTATACCTGGTCTCTCAGCTTGGTATACCTGGTCTCTCAGCTTGGTATACCTGGTCTCTCAGCTTGGTATACCTGGTCTCTCAGCTTCGTATACCTGGTCTCTCAGATTGGTATACCTGGTCTCTCAGCTTGGTATGCCTTTTCTCTCAGCTTGGTATACCTGGTCTCTCAGCTTGGTATACCTGGTCTCTCAGCTTGGTATACCTGGTCTCTCAGCTTGGTATACCTGGTCTCTCAGCTTGGTATACCTGGTCTCTCAGCTTGGTATACCTGGTCTCTCAGCTTGGTATACCTGGTCTCTCAGCTTGGTATACCTGGTCTCTCAGCTTGGTATACCTGGTCTCTCAGCTTGGTATACCTGGTCTCTCAGCTTGGTATACCTGGTCTCTCAGCTTGGTATACCTGGTCTCTCAGCTTGGTATACCTGGTCTCTCAGCTTGGTATACCTGGTCTCTCAGCTTGGTATACCTGGTCTCTCAGCTTGGTATACCTGGTCTCTCAGCTTGGTATACCTGGTCTCTCAGCTTGGTATACCTGGTCTCTCAGCTTGGTATACCTGGTCTCTCAGCTTGGTATACCTGGTCTCTCAGCTTGGTATACCTGGTCTCTCAGCTTGGTATACCTGGTCTCTCAGCTTGGTATACCTGGTCTCTCAGCTTGGTATACCTGGTCTCTCAGCTTGGTATACCTGGTCTCTCAGCTTGGTATACCTGGTCTCTCAGCTTGGTATACCTGGTCTCTCAGCTTGGTATACCTGGTCTCTCAGCTTGGTATACCTGGTCTCTCAGCTTGGTATACCTGGTCTCTCAGCTTGGTATACCTGGTCTCTCAGCTTGGTATACCTGGTCTCTCAGCTTGGTATACCTGGTCTCTCAGCTTGGTATACCTGGTCTCTCAGCTTGGTATACCTGGTCTCTCAGCTTGGTATACCTGGTCTCTCAGCTTGGTATACCTGGTCTCTCAGCTTGGTATACCTGGTCTCTCAGCTTGGTATACCTGGTCTCTCAGCTTGGTATACCTGGTCTCTCAGCTTGGTATACCTGGTCTCTCAGCTTGGTATACCTGGTCTCTCAGCTTGGTATACCTGGTCTCTCAGCTTGGTATACCTTTTCTCTCAGCTTGGTATACCTGGTCTCTCAGCTTGGTATACCTGGTCTCTCAGCTTGGTATACCTGGTCTCTCAGCTTGGTATACCTGGTCTCTCAGCTTGGTATACCTGGTCTCAGCTTGGTATACCTGGTCTCAGCTTGGTATACCTGGTCACTCAGCTTGGTATACATGGTCTCTCAGCTTGGTATACCTGGTCTCTCAGCTTGGTATACCTGGTCTCTCAGCTTGGTATACCTGGTCTCTCAGCTTGGTATACCTGGTCTCTCAGCTTGGTATACCTGGTCTCTCAGCTTGGTATACCTGGTCTCTCTGCTTTGTATACCTGGTCTCTCAGCTTGGTATACCTGTTCCACATAGGCTAATTAGGAAACACCAAACCCCCTCCGCCCCACAATAAACGTCCGACGGAGCCGTTTGTGACTCTGGAACAATCATACCATGTACCATCTATTCAAAATTCTCAACGTAGACCCTTAGTTTAGCAATCATTAGTGTCTAGCGTTGACCCCTCATATAGTTACAAAATGGACCTTCTTTTGTGCTATGCCTTTTTCTGTACTGAACGTTTGGACACATGATGTGTTATAGGAGACCCAGTGATACCAATCGACCAGTTTGGCACGTAGTTTTGTTCTCAACATTGCCGTTGTCAATACCGGTATCATGTTTGCCAATGTCTTGGCGTCGCCGTGTGCTATCTTTGCTATTTAGATACAGCATCTGCACAAAGTCAATTGGCGTGTATAGAGCACGTGCCATATGCCACACTTTTGCTTGTTTTTGTATTTGTGCAGGTATTTATTGGGATATTGACTGTAGACAAATATACGGATCGCTTTATTGTAAAATACTGATCTGATAAAGAGGTTGTTGAGGCAGATCAAGCAAAGGATGGAGTGGGGTGAACTTTTGGTCAAAACGGCAAGACTGACGGTGGTTGATTTCTTCTTCATTATGGGTAATGACATCAGAGGCGCTGGGTAATATTTTCATTGAACATTCTTGGTACTTGTTTCGTGACAGGCCTCGCGTGCTGAAACATTGCCCAGCGATCATGTAACGGGGGAGATTTTGTCTTCTATCAAAGTTAATTATTAGTTCACTTGTATAATATAAGAAGGGTTGTTGGCACAAACTTGAGAACCGCAGCTAAATGGTATCATCTTTCTGGTCTTTGTTGTTCACATATTCTAAAACTAAACCTTCACAGGAGGTCTGTGAAGACATAAGGGGATTTAACAATGGCTGCTGTGTCAGACAGCCATTACTGACAGATACTTACCACACGAAAGGTAGCAGTAGATCATGTAGTTGGTAGACTTGGTATTTCAAGAATCAAGAAATAGTAACTGTTCTCAGGTCAAGCCAGTGATGACACACAGTGCTGGATTAACCATTAGGCAAACAGGGCACGTGCCCAGGGCACCAATCATTTTGGGGGCACCACAAGTCCTCAAGAAAACTTGAAAACGTGGGCTGATTTGTATTCTTCACTAGCAGATCAATTGCATGAATCTAGGAATGAATTTGAAAGATTTGAAGAAGCTGCAAAAGAAATAACACCAGGTGTGGATTATAAGTCAACTTTGACCCGTAATCGTAAATGAAAGACAGTAGACATTGATGGTGATGCCCCTGAGGTATGTCAGAATGCCAGAGACAAATTTCGTATATCTGCCTTCTACACCATTGTTGACAAATTTGAGACGGAGATGAGTAGACAGGTATATAATGATCTAGCAGTTCGATTTTCTTGTTTGGTGGATGTACCACAAACATCTCAGTGTTGTGAAGGACTAATAAATGATTATCCTAAAGATCTGAACAATAATTTATATACTGAACTACAACAGTTCCACTCATCTATTCGCCACAAGTTTGGTGCATCAAAATATGAGAACAACACTTTCAGTCATGCAGAACTCTACAAAGTAATAGTTAGAGACAACATCGAATGTGCTTTTCCAAATGTAGAAATCGCCTTGCGCATATTTTTAACATTAATGGTTACGAAATGAGCGCTCTTTTTCTCAGTTGAAACGTACAAAAAATCCAAGTAGATCGACAATGAAACAAGAAAGGCTTGATTCCTTATCTTTGCTGATGATTGAGGCAGACTTGTTGCACAAAATTAACTTTGATGATGTACTCAAAAACTTTGCCAGACGTAAATCTAGAAAAAAGAACTTTAAATGTAAATGTGTGCTCTCTCTGACTTTCTTATCTATCAAAAAAGTTACAGTTTTTTGTCTACTATAATTACAAAATTAATGAACTATTAATTATAATACAGAAATACCTTATTGTAGGTTTTATATGAGTGATAGTAGTACAAACATATGTGTTTACATTTCACCACTGTTTTTCTTTGTTAGTTTTTTGCATAATATTGAACATACCAGCAGTCAGACGAGGATCGGGGAGGGGGGGGGCGGGGCTGTAAGGGGCACCCATGTGGGTTTGTGCCTAGGGCACCAAGATGGCTTAATCCTGCCCTGGACACATATAAATATTGGCGATATTTTAGGAAATTGATAAAATTGTTCTTTATTTGAAGAGTTTTTGACTAAACTAATGCACTTACAACTTGTAGTACAAGATACTTAAGGGTCAAGTGATAGCATTTAACACAGTATGTTATTTCATTCATACCAGGAATAGGTATGTGTCCATCTCTTAGCGTGTTAAAACACACTAGTAGCAGTATAGTTCCGGTTCATAAGTATCCAGCACACGACACTGGTTTGTGTGAGTTCAAATATTCATGGAGTTTTTGTTTTGTTTTTGTTTTTACTTATTTCCTCTAGTGTTTTGGAACTGATGTTGTGATATTACCAGGATACAACTTGACTGAATTTGTTGCGTCTTATTACACCATTCTCTGTTTTAAAGGATCTAAAGATAGACTATAGTTTTTCCACGTCAGCCATTCCCTTTTATTCAAAAAATATTTAAAAGGGAATAAAATTGATCAGGACCTGGAGTTTTCAGTTAATAAATTTGTCACATTTAATAAATCGTTGCACACCATTCTTTGGGAGGCCTGTCCATCTATATATATATATATATATATATATAGTCATGATATACGGTGTCTAAATGATGCAGTGTCCTTTTCTACATGGGGAAAAGCGCAAGTCTTATCTGTGGAAGGTAGGATTCATTTTTATACTCTTCATCATACATGCTTTAATAATTTCTTATACCGGTACCACTGTTATCAGTTTGTATGCTTTAAGTTGACTTAAATTGTCTTGATTACTATTCTATGAAATGGTCCCAAAGGGACAAACATTTATGAATCTGAATATGTTGTGAATATCCACTGAAGTGTAACTTGATTTATGTATATTCATTCCCCAGACGTTAAAACTAAATCCGGTTTTGTGAGAATGTGTGCTAATCAGTAATTAGGGCACTTGACTGTTTGTGTCATAACTTTATGTTAGCTAATGCATAGTCCCAATGAATTAGTATAACTAATATGTTTAGAAGATAGCATAAAATGTTTCCAGATAGCTAGAGGAATGGACCGGGGAACTGAAGTAAATTAAGCTGTAGTGAAAAAGCCAGATTTAAGAAGTGTTTCTATGGTCTTTGTTACTATTCTGTTAGCCTTCTGACTCAAAGTAGCAAGTAGGATGGGGTGAAGTTGTGACAAAGTAGCAAGTTGGATGGGGTTAAGTTGTGACAAAGTAGCACGTAGGATGTGGTGAAGTTGTGACAAAGAAGCACGTAGGATGGAGTGAATTTGTGTGATAAATTAGCTAGTAGTATGTGGTGAAGTTGTGACAAAGAAGCACGTAGGATGTGGGGAAGTTGTGACAAATTAGTAAATAGGATGTGGTGAAGTGAAAAAGTATCAAGTAGAATGGGTGGAAGTCTTAATTAAACCAAATTTTAAGTCAAATGATAAAAATACCATCTATATTGAAAAAAAAAATGAAGTTGATGAATTCAGTGACGCAACTAATGATTATTGGCTTTGTGGCTGAATCTATTACTAGGGGCACGGCACGTTGGTGAACTTATCTCGACCCTCATTGTTGCCAATTTAATGTGGAAGAATTAAATGACGCCTTGAGTGGTCATTACCTGATGATCGTATTGATTCTCTGCCTCAGGGGCCTGATCAGTTATTCATGATTAACCCCGAACGTCTAAGGTGTGTGCAACATTCCTTTATGATTTTGTATTATGGAAGAACAGGTTGAAACAGAAGTTGATAAAATATAAACTTAAATCGTTCCAATCCATAATGATTAAATCCGTTGGCTGTTTTGAAAAATAGCTTTTTTTTCATGATTTCGTGGTGATTAATTTTTGTTTCTTTTGTTTCCATTATGCAAGTAAAGGCCGAAGTAAATACGACAGATTTGCACTTTGGTTGTATATTTATTAAATGTTAAAAAAAATAAATGAACTAATAAATTTTAACCCTCTGTATGTGCTTGTAAAGAAATTGAGCACCATATTGTAGTATTGCAGTGATTAATCAAATCGTTAAATCAGCTTCTATTTATTCATGTTCAGGTATTCCTTATAAGGCCTTGTATTAATTTGGTAGGATGTAGTGAGGGAAGTAACTATGAATGTTATGGTAATAGTTTTTGTAAAATGTATTATTCCCCTTTGTAAATTAAAATGCTTTTACTTACTGACAAGGAGCTTGTTCACCATGTAAAACAAATTGCTACTGCTTAAAATGGATTTTCTAAAAATAGTGATAGGGTTGGGGGGGGGGGAGTAGTGGGAGGGAGGCATGGCGTTGGATATTCGGGAAAATGCCTCTTTATTCAATCCGCAAAAGCGCTCTGCCGTCGGAGAAAACATAAATAAATGTAGTTGAAAATGTAAAACACATTGCTTTTACTTACTGACAAGGAGCTTGTTCACCATGTAAAACAAATTGCTACTGCTTAAAATGGATTTTCTAAAAATAGTGATAGGGTTGGGGGGGGGGGGAGTAGTGGGAGGGAGGCATGGCGTTGGATATTCGCGAAAATGCCTCTTTATTCAATCCGCAAAAGCGCTCTGCCGTCAGAGAAAACATAAATAAATGTAGTTGAAAATGTAAAACACAGACATACATTAAACTAACCATTAAAACATTTTTAAATAGGGTGAAGATTTGCAACTAAAATATCAGCAATCTTTTGGAGATTTGTGACTCCATTTTCAGTAGCCCCTATGTTCCTGTCTGTAGATCACTTTCACTGCTTTGTTACCAGGCATCACCCAAGGTGACCTGCCCAACTCATAAAAACCGAACATCGAAGCATCAGCATCTCAAAAATAATGTCCAACATCTCACCAATTTCATGTAGCTGTCTAGTATTTTACAATTTAAAAAGGCATTAATGAATGAAGTTTAAATTCTTTTACTATGTTTATATACATACCATTTTTGCCAATGAGCTGTTGTTAGTGTATTTTATGTGTGGACCAAATCAACTCGACCTCTTCCACTAATAGCCCAGGGAAGCTAAATGGTGGGACACCGCTGTCCTAAAGCAAAGTTGAATTAATGGGGTTTATATCTCTGATGACGATAACCAAGGTATTACGGAGTAGCCTCTAGATTTGGCAATTCTTCCACGTGTGCTTGAGCAGTTTTAACGTTATTGCCTGCCTCCAGTTACAGTCCAGCCAGAAATCCGCTGCTTTGCCCTGCCAGCTCACATAACTCACACACGATGCACACACTTAAATAGCTTAATTAAGACCACTTGTTAATGGTATTATCCATTTCATTACTCGTTCAAAGGAGTTTTCTTCTCTTGTTAATAGTCGAATTCCAAAATTTTCTGTACGGGTAGTTAAAGTAGCTATTCAACATTGACCTTCATACATTCCAAATATACAGTAGTTGAACGTCTCTTGTAATAGTTGTTTTATTTTAATTCCCTGTAAATTTTAATACATTTGAAGCGTTTACATCTCGACAAATTATATGTATAGCGTCATCAAAGAAATAACACCTATTTTATTTTATTTTTAAATCTAGGTGAATCCTTTTTTTGTTTTTTGCTCTTAATTTTTTAATGAAAAAAAACTGAAATGAAAAGGCTGTCAAAAGTCAGACGCGTGTAGGCGCAAATCTCGGTTAATGCTTGTGAATGTCTGAGCTGGCTTGAGGTTGACGTGTGTAGGTGCGCCACATGCGCCCAGGGTACCGGTTTTAAGAGGTGCTTGTAATGATGCGGCAGTTTGTGTGCTCGACCTTTTTCCTCGGAGGTATTCCCTCTCCAGAGAGCTATAACAAGAACAAGTGACGAATTTTTTCTTAGATCCGCCAGAATCCATCCAACATTTCTATACAATAAAAACACACGTGTTTACTACAAAGATAAATAATTACGCTATAAAACAAACTTAGGATACTAAGACCGAAGTAGCCATTACATAATGACCGTCAGAGCTTGTCAACATCACATTAGATCCTACATGCCATCTTTCTTAATATCTGATATCACTTACCTTTTATTATGTACTTTTTTAATGTTAAAAAAATACAAAATAATAAATGCGGAATCCAGCTGCATGCTAAGGCGTAGCCAAGGGGGCAGAGAGGCAGATGTTCCAGTGCGCCAGCCTAGTTAAGGGCGCCAAAATGGGTCTTGGTATTTTAAATAATTTTATAAATAGGAATTTTACAGTTGAAAGGGGCGTAAAAATAAATCAGGTCCCCTGGCACCAAACACTCTAGCTACGCCTCTGGCTGCACGGATATTGTGATGAATTGTAATTGTAATCATGGGGGACTGTGCTTTCCCCTAATATGAGGTTAACATTGCGAATCACATATAAATGTACACATTTGAATGTACACACATGTCGATGTACACCATTAGATTGTGAAGTGAGCTCATACAACACGATACCCACCTTACCTGTCTACTGACTTACATTACATACTTGGTTACCGTTTGTAATGAGTTACACGTGACGCAGCTGTAATAATAATCATCACTCGTTGAAACAGAGCTCTCTTGACTTTACGCTTGTGTGCGGTATAGAGCTCGTATTTCTGTTGGATGGGACTTCACAATGCTGGACATTAAACTGTTACTTATTAACGATGGAGATGGTACAATTCAACTTTAGGGGAAAAGTCTTCACACTGGCTGTTTGTTACCTGACATAATCATGGCGAATGGTACAAGATTCATCAGCTGGCTGTGCATTCATTAGTAAGCTGTGTTGCCTTTTGAATTATATAAATTGTTTTAAACATTGCTGCACGGTGTTTGCCCCCTTTCTCCAGATTTATTCGTGAGATTTTGGTAAGTCATCTCAAATCACTCAAACGTCACCTTAATTTTTGTCTTGTCATTGACAGTTTAACTGTAAATGTAATGAAACGAATTATCAAGGAAAAGAACAACACATTTTAATAGGCTTTCCCACAATTTATGAAAGCTTATTCCATGTACTTTTATACTCGGAGCCCAATGTTCGCCCATTTAAAACACTATATCAACATGCCTCGGAATTGATAGATTTGCAAAACAGTAAATAAACATATATCGGAATTCAAAGATTATGGCAACAATTGTGGAAATAATAAATATACATACATTGGAATTTAAAATTGTACAAACAATATATAAACATACAGTGGAATTTTAACATTGTACACAGAATATTTAAACATACATTGGAATTTTAAGGTTGTGGACTTTCTTGTCCATTTCGATTTTTCTTCAGGACCTCTATAAATATCACCTTGTTTTTATTAGGACACAAATACAAACTATGACAAATTTTTGTTTGTATCCTGTTTGTCTGTGCAACTAAGGTTGCTTCAAACTTGCGGTCTAAAGACTAGACGTATTAATTAGGGTTGCTTCACACTCGCGGTCAAAAGACTGTACGTTTTAATTAGGGTTGCTTCACACTCGCGGTCAAAGGGCTGTACGTTTTAATTAGGGTTGCTTCACACTCGCGGTCAAAAGACTACGTTTTAACTAGGGTTGCTTCGCACTCGCGGTCAAAAGACTGTACGTTTTAATTAGGGTTGCTTCACACTCGCGGTCAAAAGACTGTACGTTTTAATTAGGGTTGCTTCACACTCGCGGTCAAAAGACTGTACGTTTTAATTAGGGTTGCTTCACACTCGCGGTCAAAAGACTATGTATTAATTAGGGTTGTTTCACACTAGCGGTCAAAAGACTGTACGTATTAATTAGGGTTGCTTCACACTCGCGGTCAAAAGACTGTACGTTTTAATTAGGGTTGCTTCACACTCGCGGTCAAAATACTGTACGTTTTAATTAGGGTGGCTTCACACTCGCGGTCAAAAGACTGTACGTATTAATTAGGGTTGCTTCACACTCGCGGTCAAAAAACTGTACGTTTTAATTAGGGTTGCTTCACACTCGCGGTCAAAAGACTACGTATTAACTAGGGTTGCTTCACACTCACAGTCAAAAGACTGTACGTTTTAACTAGCGTTGCTTCACACTCGCGGTCAAAAGACTACGTATTAACTAGGGTTGCTTCACACTCGCGGTCAAAAGACTACGTATTAACTAGGGTTGCTTCACACTCGCGGTCAAAAGACTACGTATTAACTAGGGTTGCTTCACACTCGCGGTCAAAAGACTGTACGTTTTAACTAGGGTTGCTTCACACTCGCGGTCAAAAGACTGTACGTTTTAATTAGGGTGGCTTCACACTCGCGGTCAAAAGACTGTACGTTTTAATTAGGGTTGCTTCACACTCGCGGTCAAAAGACTACGTATTAACTAGGGTTGCTTCACACTCGCGGTTAAAAGACTACATTTTAACTAGGGTTGCTTCACATTCGCAATCAAAAGACTGTACGTATTAACTAGGGTTGCTACACACTCGCGGTCGAAAGAATTTGCATTATTTTTCTTGAAACTCGACTTCTCTAAGACTTAATCGCTGCTATGACCGTCTTTGCGTTCCTTTAATAGAGTTATTATCTTAAGGAGTCGAGAAGACACAGTCCTAGCCAGTGGCCCGATTGCATCTCTGGCATTTACTGGGAAATGAATTCAGCATAATATAATTTTAGAGCACTATTGTATTTGTAGCTAAACTTTTATATCCCTGATCTATATGCAGGCGTGACACCGTGGCCCCGAAACATTTTTGAAACATTTCGGCTGAAATTTTGAGTTAGGTCTAGTCAGTGTAGGGAACTCGTCACTCTTCCTCTAACTGTGATTAAACACCCTGTCTGTGAGCGAGACATCAGCGGACATGGGGATTCCATGTGTGGGTGGTCTAATGATGGCTAGAACTCAAGACTAACTAACTTTAAAAAGTGTACAGTGCCTCTGGCTTTTTTTTTTCTTCTCTTCTTGACTTGTACCTGCCCAAGGATTCTAAGTTCAAGAAAACGGTGGCTGTTTAATATAAATGCTCTCGGGTTAGAAACATTAAAGATGATGTCAGGTGATAGTTGAGGAAGAGTGGCTAATGTCATGCAGGTCTTCTTGTCTCTTGCAGATAAAAATGTATCGAGGCTTTCTGTAAGAAACACTATTCCAGTTCAGATCTCCCGGATATGATTCATTTTATTATGTTTTTAACAATATTGAATTCTATTATGATTTTTTATTTGTTCTACTGATTTCTATTAAAATTATAGAATTACTGCTTTCACGATGTTTAAAAAAAAAAGAAGAAAAAATGCGTAACTATTATTTTGGATGAGGGTGTTCGCAGTTTTGAGCATTAAATGACTTCCAAGCCTCATTATATCGGGGCATGTTAATAAAATTAAAACATTTTAAATGTAAACATATGGGGTCCTTATAAATGGCCAGTTTCCAATAAAGCATATGGATATACATCTTACAATGCTCAATTTTAATTAATTTTTTTTTAAATTGATAATTTGTAATGAGTTTCTCCATCTCTAACCAAAAGTTTTTCCAAAAAAAAAAAAAAAGGACATTTTGCTTATTCAATTTTATTTAAGTTTCAAATGTGTGTTGTTTCATCCTACACTGTGCTTAGTTTAGAAAAGGTATTTGTGCCCTATAGACCTGACGATGCTGAATCTCCCAATGTATCCCAGTCCACCCACCATCGACCGGTGTGGAGGAGTTGTCTGTAAGGGAAGTAATAACAAGTCAGATGCGTGGGTGGAGTGGGTGGCGTAAAGAAAATCTGGTGTGTGTGGTTGGGATGGTGATGAGCTCCAATATTTTTTTTTACTCGTGCCTTATTTGAGGCAGTGGGAGAAAATTTAGATTGTTTGAAACTGAAGGTTGGAGGATGCAGCTGAATTTAGAATAAGTTTGTCCGATGACGTGATTTAACTCTGTTACTCTCTAGGATGTATGAACACAGTTGGACTTTAGATTAACTCTTTTTTTTCCATATACCATTATGTATGGATCTAGCTTCAGGTTCTTTGAGTGCTTTCAATATCCGTAAGTTTAAAATTAATGCTCCTTAATCTCTAATGTTGTTTTACGTGACTTTGAGTCTCAGAATGTGAGCTGTGTTCTCCAAATTGTCTTCACTGCCATCAGAAAATGTGAGCCGGTTAGGCTCTACAGAGGCCATAGAGATAAGGTTACTGTAGGCACCCGTGATCAACTAGGTAGCGATTGGGTTTTCATTTCCGTAGTTGAGACTATAGTTATGTTTAAGGGGACAAGTTGATTTCTGAAAGAGATGTACTGAGATGATTGACGTTGTCTTATTACGGTCACTCTCATGTTTAACATTGGCATCAAAACTTAATATTAATTATGAGAACGTCGAGGTCCTTTAGATCCCAGACATTTATGTTAGTTAAAAAAAAAATTAAGTTAAAATAATTCACGATTGATTGAACTCTATTTGATACATTGTGCGTTAGCTCATCTGCCAAGGCTACCGGTGTATAAAATTCCAATAGCGGATCCTTAAAAAGAAATCGAAGAAACAAGGTACCCATGTTTTGCTCACTTCGCGTCTCCATCTTATATTTTACATTGATCATTTCTGAAGTACTCCAAGATACAAAAAAAAATATATATATATATATAAACATATATATAAAAGACTGGCATAAGCCCAATGTTCGGTTTTTGGCAAGTATTAAAAACACAGAACTGTTTATCACATGCCTACCTACAGGTAGTGGTTGATCCAAGGCGCTGACATCTCAGCACATAGCTCGGGTTGTTATGCGTAGAATTACGTTGTATTTGCAGTAGATAAAATGAAAAACGATTATTTATTTAAGGAAACCTCACATAAAATAAGTGTTATGTTGGTGAGTGTGATTTTGTGGATGTGTGTGAGTGAGTGATCCGGCTGTCCAACTTAATATGTTTGCCTTCACTTTAATTTCTTGTACCATGCCTGGCATAGCTGGGTACTATCACACACATGGTGGTAGAGCTGGGCACTACCACACACATAGTTGCATAGCTTGGTACTATCACACACATGGTGGTATAGCTGGGCACTACCACACACATTGTGGTAGAGCTGGCCACTACCACACACATTGTGGCAGAGCTGGACACTACCACATACATTGTTGTAGAGCTGGACACTATCTCACACATTGTACTGCCACACACACTGTGGTAGAGCTGGACACTATCAAGCATATTGTGATATTGCTGGGCACTATCACACACACTGTGGTAGAGCTGGACACTATCACACACATTGTGGTATTGCTGGGCACTATCACACACACATTGTGGTATTGCTGGACACTACCACACACACATTGTGGTATTGCTGGGCACTACCACACACACATTGTGGTATGCTGGACACTACCACACACACATTGTGGCATTGCTGGGCACTACCACACACAGCTTTGTGGTATTGCTGGGCACTACCACACACACATTGTGCACCAAGTTTTTAGATTGCCTCTAAATCTAAAAAGTGATTGACGACGTCCGCTCTGTTGACTTGTACGTGTGTAGAATACATTTAATGTAAATGGCATCACTCCGTATTCAAGTCTATCAAGTAACACATATCATCTTCACTAGAACGTTATTATAAACCACAGCCCAGTATAAAGCATTCACGTCATTCCGGCTCTCCTGAATGACATCAACTTAAAAATTGGTTACCAAATTACGCTCTACCAATGAGACTTTATCATTTCTTATTTAAGGAAACGATAGCATACATATTTAGATGATAATGTTACAGTTTTACGTCCGTTAAATAAATAAATTATTTGCACAAGGCTTAACGCTTATGTGATCCCTAATCAACAGTTAGGTGTTGTGAGATAAATGCCGTTGTCATTCAGTCTGAGGTTCGCTATTTTTACAATTGTGCTCTTTGTTGAGCAAATCCCGTGGCCAAAGGATACCAACGTCTTTATTTTGTATGGATGAATTGCACTGTCCTGTAAAGTCCATGTTCTTGTCAAAATGCATCACCTTCACTCTGGTTTCCTTCACAGTGACGGTGGTTTCATTGCTCACAATGCCCGCGGTGATGGTTATCCTGGTAATGTCCCCACTAAAGTGGTCAACTACAGTGGCAACCCAGAGGGCACCACCTCCAACGGGACAGTCAATGCTAACAGTAAAACATCGGAATCTCTTTATGACCTACCTTGCTACAACGAGTATCTGGTGAGTATTGTCTATAATTACCCAGAGAGAGACATGTATTTGATCCACACTGATTTGCTGTTTTACATCAGCTGTTATTTAAAAATATTTGGTCATCCCCATTTATGATTCAGCATTTGTGCCCTTTTTGTTTGTTTGTTTTTTTGTTTTTGTTTTTTGTTGTTATCCAACAAGCCTCTCAGAACAACACAAAAAAAAAAACAAAAAAAAACAGCAAATAAAAAAATAAATTAACAATTTCAAAGAGAAATATTTTTAAAATTCCATCTTGGCCTTGTCTCATATCAGCACTGAAAAGTGTTCCTCAACGTAAATCTATTTTAATTTTTTGTTTCCCTCTTATAATTTAAAAAAAGTCTCCCCACACCCATTGTCTTCTACGACACCTCAACAGTGCAGGTTGTAGTAGACGGTAAGTCTGAAACACTAAAGGTGCGTGCCGAGATTGACCTGGGGAACAATGGGAGTGAACCAAGCATGCATTCTCTGAGTTGTTATTTCATTTGGTTACCGCCACTGAATAACAATCTGACATGCTTAATTGGGGTAAAGTATGTGTGTCCTCAAAAATACGTTTAACCACGTAAAAATTCGATGTGAAAGTGAACATGGTCTGAGAACTAAGGCTTTAGAGCAGCCAAAGCTTCAACCCTCTATAAGATACCGACAGCCGAGAACATATTAAAAAATATAGTATAAATACATCATTTTTTAAAATTCAAATATATAAACAAATAATTTAATCACCTTTAAAAATAGTAAACAAATAAAGCCTGAGCTAATCTTACGCAAATGTTTGCGGGTTAAAATGAAGTTTATTTGCGATTTTGTGCACTAATCCGATTATAATAGATATTCCCCACCTTTTCTTATTGTACCTCCACTATTGGAGACCTCTGAATTGCAGACCTACTACTGTAGAGATCTTAAATTAGACCAAACAGTTTTTTTGTACAACAAACGTTTTCAGTGGAATGAAATAGCAGATTTAAAATGTATTATTAGACCAAGTATATTTACGTGTGTCTGTGTGTGGATTACGCAACCAGGATATACATGGACAGACCCAGTGGTGTGGCTAGGTTGTGAGAGGGAAAGTGGGTCTTCCCTCAGATAAGACAACCCCTCATTAGTAAATGAATAAAAGTCATCCCCCTTCCCCCTCATTCTCCTGTTTACTGGTGTATATTATTTCACAAATTAACTACATCACTGTTGGCGCATATGTTAAACTGTGCAAGACATTCTACCAATAAAACATATTTGCAAATAGTAATTAAAAAGATGCATATTTCGAAAATACAGATTTTCACTGACCTTTGGGGGTGTCCAGTGAAACATGAGTTAACAATAATGGCATTATCTCTCTCTCTCCCTCTCTCTCTCTCTCTCTCTCTCTCTCTCTCTCTCTCTCTCTATATATATATATATAAATATATATATATCTATATATATTCTCCATAAAAAAATGAAATACAACAAATCTAACAATAAACAAATTGCTTAAAGACTTAAGATACACATGTGTTGTATTTTACAAAAGAAATCTTTCCATAGTCATCTAAGTCCTATTAATCATCTAAGTTTTAATATCTGAAGAAGATACCAGCATATGCATTCTGTATTGTATTGATTTGAAGCAAATATTTTTTTGCCGAAGGTTATTTTAAAAAAAAAAATCGGAGAGGTGAATGCTTAATTTAACCGAACACGGAATTTTCTATGGGCTTACAGTACCACCAGCTTTCTGCATAACACTCAGCAGGGGAATGTCCGCGGTGATTACTCGACACTGTCACCCCACGAAAATATGTCCTACCGTTCTCACACATCTTGGATACCGCCGTGTCGTCTGCTGCTATTAGTGATACATTCTTTGCTGGATACCCATCATTCCTGAAAAAGTTTCATATGGATTTTTAGGGACTCTTTTCTTACTGAAAGAAAAAGTATTTTTAGTAAATTATTATTTCGTGCACAGTATTTTTATTTGTTGATTTCTCCGAGAAATTTAAATGAAATTATAATAACCTTTCGTGACGTGAATTCGGATTGTGGATTATTTTAAAGAGGGTGACTGCTCTGGGATGTAACATGGATGTCCTAGGTGACGTTCATGGATATTACATCTTAAATGTGCCACTTGAAACTAGATGTAACATTTGTGTCGAAAATTACTATTTTAAAAAAAAATCCAGTTAAGATTGATAAAACCTTAACAATACACGACCACCAAGGGGCAGCGAGCACGCGGCGTGCCTGTCTAACTCGGTTGTCCTCCTTCACATTCCAGCTGCCTGGAGTTTACGATAAGCCGTGACCCACTTCTAGGAATAATTGATTAGTGTCGCACAGCTACCATCCCACCCCTAAAAACCAACCCCACCCTTGTTCCGTATGGATATGTTGGAGTGTTGTCGCCCCCCCCCCCCCCCCCCCCTTCTTTTTTTTTTCTTTTTTTTGTTGCTGTTGAGTTTAATGGCTTAACTTTGTTGATAGAACTTGTTACTAGACTGGCGCCGTAACAATAGGAAGTGGTAACTGCACAAATTATTCAGCAGTTCATTAACTATGAGTTGCTGGGTTGATGTCATTGTCAGTAAGGTTTTCAAGATTTGACGGACTCTCACACTGCAAGTCGGCATTAGTCATTAAATATCTCTCTCGAATCTCAAATCGGCATAAACAAAAATAATTAAATCGATACTATTTTTCTGGCCTGTCTATTCATAGTAAAAATACCACGCTATTTTCTATTTTTCCATTTCATTTCAAATCAAAACAAGGGTTAATGAAGCCACCCAAATGATGTGGGATAACCTAGCTTCTCAGTTCACCAAACCACTTCCAGATGAATTGTATCAAAGTCATGTTGTAATTTATTTCAACTCAAATAATGTCAGTTTTCGAAATTCTACTCTATGACACTAGATTAAAACTTTGTGAAATAAATTCTTCATCAACGTGATGGCTTAGTTACTGTTGTACTAAGCACTGCAATGTCTCCAGCTTATTGCTGTAGTTTAGCAGCATTTGGCAAATTTTGCTGAATGCGCTCCAGCGTCTTGTAGGCCTGACGTTATTCATTGTTGACTTTCTTTTCTTCCTGTCCTGCCATGCATGGTTGTCATCCCCTCCGCCCCCCCTCCCCCAATTTTTCTTTTCATAACTCAAGCCATGTCACTTAGAGGATTTAAAAAAAAAAAAAAAAAGTTTTCTTTTCACGTCCGTCCCTGTCTCTCCCATTCGTGTCACCAACTTTTTATTTTAAAAAAAAAAAAAAAAAGTTTTCTTTTCCCGTCCGTCCCTGTCTCTCCCATTCGTGTCACCAACTTTTTATTTCCCCCCCCCCCCCCCCCCCCTTTTTCACCTTTTCAAGTTTATCCCCAACCCTTAATTGTCCCGCTCTTTCTTTAAAAAAACAAACAAACAAGAAAACTTACATTGCAATATTAAAGATGATCGGATTACGCAATGTTGTTATACCTCATGGGTTAACCTTGAACGAAATGTTCAAGTAACAACTTGGTATAGTAAAGTTCGCTTAAATGAAGAGAGGTTTGCATTACACAATCTAAGAGTTGAGAAAGGTCTGTTAAGGGTGAAGCGTTAGATTCCTCTGTATTGCAATATGTTTGAACCGGAATAAACAGGAGCGATAGGGTAAAATTACACACGCGCTCACTATTGCTCGAGGTTAAGAGGAAAACGACCGAATACGCTGAGAAGTTTAGGTGCAGCTGATATCACTAATGGTGTAGCAAATGAATGTTTAATGGTGAGGAGAAGCGTACCTGTTGTTGGCTATCAAATGACCTCATCCTAGTGGATCCGGCATCTCAGTTTTCACGCCTACGTAGGACATGCCGCAAGACGCACCACCAGCCACAGCTGATAGTGTTGGCATACACGTATTTTAGAAACATTTTTACAGCATAGGATAAACAAGTTTCGGGAAACTTGCTGGGAAGTTCTCGCCCTCATGTCGATCTCACGTTTACAATTATGTTTTAAAAAAAACCTGAAATACAAGTGTACAGAATATAATATAAATAAAACACACAATTTGATGATATTGAATTGAACGCATGGCTTGTGAACAATTAAAATAGTGTGTCTTCATGTTCAAAATGCTAGATTGCTTCCTTAGATTGAAGTACTGTTAGGCAATGTTATCTACTAGGAATTCTTGACAGTTATTGTAAATTAAATGGTGGTGTATACAGGGGCGTTCTGACTTTTTTTGACAGGGAGAGGGTCAACCTTGCCACACTTTTGATGACGCTTCATATTTGGGTCAGTTATAAAGTTATCTTGACACCGGTAGAAGGGGGGGGGGGAGGGTCTTGACCCCCGGAATCTCCCCGCCCAGCTACGCCCCTGGGTGTGTAGTGGAGTTGGGGGAAAAAAAAAGGGGGGGGGGTGAGTTTACTTGAAAATTTCCATTCAAATTGTTGGAGACGTTCATGACTAAGATTTGTATGTCTAAATTTCTTAATCAAACAAGTCGACATTCATTTTTCTATTAGAAGCAGTCGCAGTGAAGAGATGTTCTATATCATGGGTCCTCAAACTATTGCACGCCAGGTTAACCCGGGCCGCTTGTCCGGGTGGCAGTGACGCTTATGGAAACGGACATTGACCATCTATTTTGACTTAATGTTATTTAAATTCTTGCTTCCTTTTAAATATGTTATTTCCCCCTGGTGTTTCCACTTCGCATAATATACAAAGGAATTAATTCATATTATTTTTAATCGATAGTCCTACCCCAAACAGTGTCTCAGGGACATTGAACCGGTCTTCAAGTGTCTAAGGGTCACAAAACCGGCCATTCGGTGAAAAAGTTTGAGGACCCCTGTTCTATATCTTGCCTTATACCCATTCAACCGCCCTGCCCACCCCTCCCCCATAGTCTTGACGACCCAATTCAGCACTGGGCCCACTGTGTTAAGGGATTATTAGTCTTGTTTAAAGTATGCCTGTGAAATTCTTGATGCGTCTGCTGAATTCCTGGTGGTTTTATTGGCTTTGAATTCCTTTCAGCGCTAGGTAGTGGTGAAGTGTGTCGTGATCTGGTCCTACTTCATAATGCATTGGCTTGTCGATGGGCATGTTGCGGTATTTTGTCGTTGTACAAGTACATTATGTCACGGCCATTACTTGTCCCCGCACTTACAGCAGACAACCAAAGCTCTAATCCTGTGCACGTTCATTTAAGTTATTCATCTATAACAAAAATATAGTCTAATTTGTAAAGTTATTAAAAATATAGTCTAATTTGTAAAGTTATTAAAAATATAGTCTAATTTGTAAAGTTATTAAAAATATAGTCTAATTTGTAAAGTTATTAAAAATACTGTATTGAGTCTTAAATTAAAGACGGCAGATACTACATTGTCGAGTCTTATGAGTTATGATTAAATAGCAGCCCAAGTAACCCCATCACTACGCATGTTTGCAACGAAGGCTGACTTGTTGGGAAGTTCTCTCTGTGATGAAGATCCTAATGATTACGCCAAAATTGCTTAGTTTTCTTCTAGATTTGTGCACATTTTTCCTTCCCCAATTCTTCTGTATTATTTCCTCTTAGGCCTATTAATAATTCTATGTCTGATTTAGCAACATTTAAAGCCGCAATTTGTTTTCTGACCAGTATTTGACATGACCTCACTACATTCATATACTTGGTTATTAAAGGTGGGAAGAAATTTTTTTGTTACAGCTGTTTTTGTGTGTTGTTTTTTGTGTCTGAATAGTAGAAGACTACAAAACAACAGACGCACATTTATTTGTCCAAGAAATTATTACATCCCCTTTTTGTTGTTGTAACCTGGTGTCGAGTAGCGTAGTCGTAGTCCATATAACAAAACATCCGGATCGTCGCTAACATATTATGTAATAATGAAAACAGTTTTCATGCAATGGATAGCGTTTGTGTTGTTCATTGCTTTAAACATACACATGTTGTGACATGGTTTTCTCCAAGTGCTTCCCTTTGCTCCACTTAAAAAGTCGACGTGATGCCACTGTGTTCCATTGCTAACTAACATCGTACATTGCTGACTTACAAACAAACCAGGTACATTTACAAATCTAATCTGTCATCAAATTTATTTTCGAAAGTTTGAATTTTTCCCACCTGAAAGACAGTAAAAAAGATCTATGTAACTTTAAAAAATGTTTAAAAAGTATATTTGTTACTAGCTCTTTTATTTTCTAGATTTTAAATTAGTGTCACCTATTTAAAGGTAATCGTAGAAAAGGGTAATCATAGAAGATGTAACGGTGCGTAATTTCGTTTAAATAGCATCTTTACCGCTTAAATTATTTATATATAACAGATACACAATATATATATATATATATATATATATATATATATATATATATATATATATATATATAAAAATATATCAATATATATATATATACACAATAAAAAAAAAAAAAAATAAATATATATAAATATATATAATTATATATAAAAAAAACACAATATATATATATATATATATATATATATATATATATATATATATATATGTATATATATAAACAATTATCATTAAATTCATATATACACAATAAATAAATAAATAAATAAATAAATATAAATATATATAACATGGGTGAGGGGTGGGGGGGTAGGCATTCTAGAAAAGCTTAGGCGGGGCATGGCACAAAAAAAGGTTAGGAAACACTGGACTAGAGGATCTTACATCATCCGTTATGATCACTTCTCTGGTTCTGGTTCATGCAGATCCTTTTGTCATACGCTAAATTATCACAAATCGATCACCTACATTCTACCCTGTGCCTAGACATTGTATGTTATATAATTCTACCTTACCTCCCCTCCCCCTTTAAGACCGTATTTTCCCAGTATTCTGTTCAATGGTGATTTACCACTATGTACACAACGAGCACATGAAGGCAGTTGGGTGTTAATGAAGCCATAAATTGTTCCTACGGTGGTATTGCTCTCACCTTCCATCGTGTAGTGTTGCTGGAGTGCTCAAACAGTGAGGATCACTGATGAGACGATTGCTCTCTTTACTCTGGGCTAGTAATAAACCCAAAATCCACGGCAGCGTGATTTATTAATAAACCCAAAATCCACGGCAATGTGGTTTATGGATCAATCCAACATCCACGGCAATGTGGTTTATGGATCAATCCAACATCCACGGCAATGTGGTTTATGGATCAATCCAACATCCACGGCAATGTGATTTATTAATAAACCCAACATCCACGGCAATGTGGTTTATGGATCAATCCAACATCCACGGCAATGTGATTTATTAATAAACCCAACATCCACGGCAATGTGGTTTATGGATAAATCCACGGCAGTGTGGTTTATTGATAGACCCAACATCCACGGCTGTGTGGTTTATTGATAGACCCAACATCCACGGAAGTGTGGTTTATGGATAGACCCAACATTCACGGCAATGTGGTTTATGGATAAACCCAACATCCACGGCAGTGTGGTTTATTGATAGACCCAACATCCACGGCAATGTGGTTTATGGATAAATCCAACATCCACGGCAGTGTGATTTTTTTGATGAACCCAACATCCACGGCAGTGTGGTTTATGGATAAACCCAACATCCACGGCAGTGTGATTTTTTTGATAAACCCAACATCCACGGCAGTGTGGTTTATGGATAAACCCAACATCCTCGACAGTGTGGCTTATTGATAGATCCAACATCCACGGCAGTGGTTTGATAGTATCAAAGCTGTAAAACGTAGCATTTATTTGAGACTTAGTTTGTAACTTAAATGTTACGTTGTGTTCTTCTGTAGGACCTGTTTTGATAACAAATATTTCCATTTTGTTCTGGTATATAGCGGCAAGATCACTACAAGCTACGTTTCGATTGCCTTAAGAAATAGTACCCATAAAAAACAATAAATAACTATAAATAGAAAGCTCTTGAGCATACCAACATTAGTTGTGAGGATATCTTGATGATATAATAAATCACTGGCCGACCAACCTTATTTCAGATTGATCACAGCTGCCATGCTGGAGGCTATACAAACTAAGAGATTCGGTAAATTAACAATAACACCCACTCTCCCCCCCCCCCCCCCCCCACACACGAGTTTCTTACAGCTCCACCTGCTGACTTTGCGGTTAACAACTGCCATAACTTCTTTGGCCATTTGCAGTCTGATGATTTCTTAATTTGTATATAGTTGATCTTTACCCGTTCACCGTGAATAATTTATCAACAAATTAATAGTGCATTGGTATAATGCAAAGACAAACTACAATACACGGGCAACAGGAATGTTAAGAAAAGTCTCAGCCTTCATGAGATGAGTTTGTAAAAGATAAGTGTAAGACAAAATGTGAGACATAGCGGGTATCCGTGATCAATACAAGTTTACTGCATTTCTTGTCCACTGTCGGTATAGGAAATGCTCATTATTATTTTTTTTAAATGCTTGCAATGTCCTGAAATTTCAAAGAAAGCGGATATGATATAACCAATTCATTTGAACTTTTCTCACAGAAAATAAACCATTTGTTTCCCTTGGTGGTCGTACCCCACTCTTACTATCGTCTTGGTATTATGTGTTTGTTTATAGAAATACAAGGTTTAAAATCAAACCGCTGCACCAAGGTCAACAAGAGGACTATTTCATTTGATGCAGTATGTCCCCGCAGACGACAGAAAATACTCTTAGCTGGATGACCCGCATGGCGATTGCCAGAATGAAACAGATTCTTTAAAATAATATAGTCGGTTTATTTTAGCTGTCCGATTGTGCCTAACATGTTTCAATAAAGAAGTTATAAATGTTGGCTTGTATTGAAATCGACATTGGTAGACTCGTGACATTAGTTTAAGGCTTAACCTTGGGGGATAGAAAATAATAAAATTCATTACTGAAAAGTTCTACTTGTATTAATTCAGTAAATTAGAGTCACCAAAACAGCTCTTTAAGACTTGATACATGCCAGGGAATTGTGTTTTCCGTGAATTGTGTGTTACGTGAATTTTATGGTATGGGAATTGTATGGTCCGTGAATTGTGTAGTAAACAATATCTCTGCGAATAGAATTTAAAAAATTTTTTCTTCATGAATGAACCCAATAGTCCTACTATTACTATTACAATTTTATCAAACAAGGGTGGGCGCGCCCCCACTCCCTCTAGAAACTTAAATACTAAATCTTCTTGTTTAACATGATGACCATATTTATAAAAAGTTGTATTTGCTATTTCTAAAGAAATCAATGCCGTCTCCGGCACTAGAATGAGCTCCGTGGGCTACTCCCACGCCATGCCCACTTAGCATGACATCACGGCTGTGTGGAAATGGGAATGTCAGGCTATCTTATCCAACTATCGATAAACCAAAAATTCTTATCAGTCAGCTATAGAGAGGCGTGGATGAGGTCATCTACGGCTTTATCCTATCCAACGCGTGGAGCTAGTGGACAGAAAGAATTGGCTTCCCTGTATGTAACATTGATTTATACAGCTGTTGATCTCTCTAATCATGACGCCAATCTTTGTGTTCCGATGTGACGATAACACTCCAAGGAGGTGTTGGGAAGTCTGGGGAACACACATAACTTTTTAAAAAAAAAAAAAGGGGGGGGGGGGGTAAAGCGACAATGTCCATCTTGATCCCTTCCCAAAATAAGGTCGAAAGAAATAAGAAAAGAAACTTCAAACATTTTTAAACATTCAGAATATTTATTGACGAAGATCATTCAACCATGACGATAATATTGGGAGGATAATATAATGCATAAATAAGCCACCGATTTATATCAGTACCGATACATTATGATATAACTCGGTGGCTTACTTATGTCATCGAGACAAACACAAAGAGAAAAAACAGACACGCAAATAACCCTTTATCTCGAGCGGTTATTTTTAAGCTCCCCCAAGCCATTTGAAATGATAGTCCTTGGCCTGATAGCGAAATGAAACGTTTTAATTGACTGGCTTTGTCAACAGTCAAAGATTGATTGCACAGGCTTCACTGGGAGCTGTAATAGATGGGAATGTCATCAGTAGCTTAACAATCTGTCCAAAGGCCAGTACTTTTCTCTCGGCACCAGGTTCGCCTGGACAGGAGGCACCCATTCTCTTATACTGTTTTCCATCAGCTGAATTATCGCGAAATAAGTTTCATCTACCTACTGGAACCGCCATGGTTTAAGGGATGAAATGTAGAAAAGAAAGTTAGCGTTTTTAGGAAATGGAATCCATTATGGATTTTTAAATGAATAGACGTTGTGCTATCTAAACAGTTGCATGCTATCTAAAGAATTGGGTGCTACCTAAAAAAGTTGAGTGCTACCTAAAGAGTTGGGTGCCATATAAAAAGTTGTTTGCTATCTAAACAGTTGCATGCTATCTAAACAGTTGTGGAATTATTGTGTGCAAGAAACTTTTGAACTAGTTTTGTGTGTCCATCGCCATCAGAAAGCTGGATATGTGGGACTCAATATGTGTTTTCCAAGCATGGTGATTCACTTGGGCATGAACTTAGTTCTTCAATGTTACACCAAGACCTGTGGGTTTTTTGGACAATCCTTTGAAACAACACTGGGAGTTATGCCATGAAAATACTATGCTGCGTCTGTCGGAAGACAGTGGCGGCAGGGGAACTGACCGTCAAGGTGGGAAAGAAGGATGTTGATTTTTATGGCAAGCCCTTCCAGTTGGCGACCAGGTCCCAGCAAAACCAAACGAACAACCCACCAGCAAGCACGTGACCCGAAACACTGGGTGGACAAACTTATTGGAAACAGTCAAAGGCCATCAATAAAACATCAGGTGGGTGAATCTTCTGCCAGGCAACACGTGCATCTTGATCACCAGGTGGGAAAATTCACAGGTGAGCATGAAATTGATGTGAACCACCGTGTGGATAAACTGAAGGGACAGCAGCCACCACAATACCTCAACCACCAGGTGGCGAAAACCCACCAAGTTGACTCCTCACATCAGCGCATCGTGGTTCGACAGTGTCGCATTGGTTCATCCATTGCATTCAGTCTCGTGGGAGTTCCACCAGAAAAGTTGCCCCATAACAAGCACATTGTAAGTATATAGAAAACTGGTGAATGTGCACCTTAACATAATGTAAACATGTCCAATACAGTCTTTAATGAACTGTAGAGTATGCAAAAGCATGAGCTGATGGTGTTTAAAGTTACACAGGTACTCTGGTATATATATAACATACCTACAATACAAGGAATATGTTATATTACATGATTCCTGTTAACTTCCAAATGCTATGTCACACCAGATCAAAAAGAATTTCATGAGTATATGTAGACCTACCAGTGTTTATGGGTATTCTCAACAACATACATATGACATTCAGCCATCTCAGGTGGAATATTTGGAATTATCATTAAATTATAATAAAAGTTAATTAAAGAAAATAACAGTTAAGATTTATATTAAGGAAAATTACAGGCCATAAGACCTTTCGTGTTTCCTTTCTTCCCTCTCACAAAACGGCAAGTTCAGAGATCCACTATCTGGTGGGATGCCCGACTTAACTGGTATAGCATGCCAAGCATAACATATTAACAATGACTCTTGTCATAAACATGGACAGGTAACATGCGCTGGCACATAGACAAGCTGGTCCAGTGAAGGAAGCCAGCCTGATTTAGCTTGGCTTTGTAACTTTGCAACTCAAGCTTCTAAGTCCTAATTGGAGCTGTTGCTCTGCTCGTTTTTTTTTAATATTATTAATGGCCGTTTTTTTATGGCGTTTTTTTTTCATGGCCTTATCCTGTATTTTCACAAACCAAAATACTTTGATGGAAGGTCCCATACTGACTTAAGGTAGTAGGCTGTTTATGGGACCATTGTTCTATGCTCATATTTTTGTTTTTATCATTATAATGCGTTTCAAATAAACAATGATGTTGGTGAATAGTATAGGTACATATTTTTGTATTTAAATACATATTGATTTTTAAAGAGCCACACAATTTTTATGTGAATATATAGTATAAAAAGGCTTAAAAATCAAAAACATAGTATTAAAACAATCTTATTGATGAAATAGCACAATGTATATCTTTCATTGTGAGCCCTCTTAATATTTTTGAACATTTCTGACTTGTCTACTAAATTTTTCTAGCATTGCTGTGACAATAATGGTGCTCTTAATTGGCTGATATAGAAACAAGAAAAAAATAATACATTCTCAGTGACCTTTCATATAAATTGAAATAAAATAAGTTGACATAGGGGTTGTGAAGCTGTGATATAAACATGGTCGAAGAAATCTCCTAGGAAATGGTCTGCTTTAGTAATTTAAGTTGATACTTGCTGTTAGTTTTTTGTGTTTGAGTTTATATGAGTAATTCTTTCAACACTAAGTCCTGCTGGAGCTACTACATACTATATGTAAATATGTCTATTAATGGGATCAGAGTAAATAAAACAGGACTTGCTGTGGGGTTGTGCATATAGAAGTTACATTGCATTCTTTTAAAACATTATTTATGTTCTCCCCTTCTTCAAATATTCTTGGAGTCAGTTGCCCTGAGGCACCCTGACTCCGTCTTCACAATGTGATGGTGTATTGGTGAGCAGTGGAAGGGTGGGGAGAATGAGATCCAAATGTGTGCCTCTCAGGGTCTTTCCTGCTCGTGTTGTTGCTTTTTAACCCAACAGTATGAGAGCTGTTCTAGATAGTGGCTACTTCTTTATCTCTCTTTGAGGAGGCTTACCAAACTATTTGGAATCCCCATTCACAAGTAACATTTCAGTTGCCCTGCTGGTCAACTGGGGTCTTGACCTCAGTGTGTTATTTATTTATGCACCTTATCAGACCTTATCTATGGCTTAACTCGACTTGCTCTTCATTCCTGTTGGGGAGCTGGTCCTCACCAAAACCTTAAATGCTATAACAACACAGTGTTTGGAGAGGAAATAATAAGGTTTCTTTGAAAAATATATATACCATTTTTCAGTGACATAAAACTCAAGCCAAAAGACAAAAATTCATTTTCCATCTCAACTTAGTATCATACAAATGAGACAAAACACAGAAAGAATTAGTTTTAAGGACATGACTTATTTATATATATATATTTTTAGTTTGCATAAATTTTCAACAAAAGCCAAACGCATCGCCACTCATCATTAACCACTTTATTTTTTGTATTGGGTAAAGTAGGCCAGAAATAACGATATGAAAGTTCCTTTTTTAAAAAAAGAATGTCTTCAATTTGATTTCAGCCTAATGGGAATGGTTTCGCTGATGGACATGGTTTGGTTACCATCCGGATGAAACCAGATGAAAAAGGAAGATTTGGTTTTAATGTAAAGGTAAATACAAAGAAAAATTTATTTTTAAAACAGAAGAACTACAATTATTTTGCATCTTAATCTTATCATACTAATCTTATGTAAAGGAGAAGACTATGGGACAAATAGATTTTTAAATTGTAATAAATCGTGTCAAGATAAGTTTAAAAAGCAAAATTTTGCTTAAATTTTATATAAAATGTGCAATATTATGATTTTTAAAAAAGGTTGCTTGTGTGTAATTTAGTTTAAACAAGGTAGAGCTTAAATTTGATGAAAGTATCACAGTAACCATAACATTGTGGTGCTGGGTGGCCGAGTGGTCTAAACTGAGCAAATCTCAAGTTGGTGGTCTGGAGTTCAATTCCAGCTAGAGCAAAAACACCACCAGCACCCTCGTTAACCTTGGACGGCAACTCATCTAAGAGAAGGAAACTCTGAAATCAAACCCGGAGATGGAGTCCCGAAAGGCGGATAACATTGATACAATGAAACATTCCGACAACTCCTGCGATGTCACTGGTGCCAAGCTGTATCATCCAATGATGTTCCCTTGGGTTACCCAGCGGCGTGGAGAGAGGCGATTTGCTGTTGGGAACCAGCTTATAATCCTTCAAGTATAATAATCCCAGGCTATGTGGATTTCGTCCTACAAAGCCCACTCCATCGTCACATTGTGACAGACAACCAGCAAAAAAAAAAACATAATAAAATGAAAGAACATTCATTGGTCTTACAATTTGGGTTGTGGAAATGTTTCTTTTTATATCATCACCATCTAAAGAAATGGGACATTAGTTGGTTGTTTTTTTAAATTATAATATATGTATAGAAATAAAAAATTTCATCACATAAAAAATGGTTATTGAGAAGAGTAATATAAGCTGTACATAGTTAAGGACCTCTCATGCTTGAAAATATATTTGTCTCTATTCTGTTTGATAAACTTCAATGCAATAGCCTGTATAGTTACAGCTAAGGAACCAAGAAAGCCATGTGATGTGTAAAGCTTTAAATGTAGTTAAAGTCCAACAAATTATCCTAATTTAATGTCTATTGACAGGGAGGAGCTGATCAGGGTATGCCTATCATAGTGTCACGAGTGGCCCCTAACACACCAGCAGACTTGGCCATACCACGATTAAATGAAGGAGATCAGGTGTTGCTCATCAATGGAAGGGATGTGTCCACACACACTCATGAGCAGGTATGCATATTATAGATAGTTTTGAAATAAAGACCTTTAATTAAATATTTTCTTAATTGTTTTTAAAAATAATATGACCAGAGCCAGAATTCTGGTTATATTTTAATTCTGTAATTTCTTATTTCTTGCTTTTCTGCAAAGTTAAATGTAAATAATGTTTTTGTTGAGTTCTGAGCTGTCCTTATTTAAAATGCAATCCCTTTTTTGTGTGGGAATAAATATACATTAATAGTGTCATCCCATTTGTTTCAGGTTGTTATGTTTATCAAAGCATCTAGAGAAACTCACTCGGGAGAGTTGGCTTTAGTCATCAGACCAAATGGTATTTATCTTATATTATTATGATCTATTGCTTCTAGCGACAGTAGTACCAGCTCGATAATAATAACTTTTTTTTGTTATCCATAATTCACATTAGAGCTAATTATTAATATTGATGATCTCAACTCAAATGAGTGATGTGAAAATTTTAAATAATAAAATTTTGTGAACTTTAATTTAATTATAAAATGAGTTAACTGCCAGAAATATGCGTGAGTAATCAAAACACTGCTGAGAAATAAAAGTAAATGCACTGTGGAATATTTAGAAAGTGCTCTGGTTATGATGTTATGATCATTTCTGTTTTTCTTAGTATTATCTTTATTTTAACAATACATTTTTTATTTTAGAAAAAAAACTTATTTTGATAAGACTATGCACAGCAAATTAAAGTTTGAAAAAATTTACATTACAGAATTGTTCTGTTTTGGATATTCTAAATAATCCAAAGTTAACATATACAAATAAATCACGTTACAATTTTTACAACCTGTGTTAAAAAAAGAAGAAAAAAAACACACAATTTTTGTGTAGTCTAAAAACTTCATTATTGTGTCTGTAATAAACAGAAAATATTTTATACTTCTAAATTATCATCAAAAAAAGTTTTTAAAAAAAATATGACTATTCTATTTTAGTGTATGTTGGTGAGGATCAGACAGATGAGCCAGATTTCACCTACATCCCAGAGACTCACCAAATAGCTTCCTCAGCTTCTAGTGCAAATACTCTAGAATCCTCTCTTATGCTTTTACAGGAGAGTCTAGAAAGTGGGGCTGCCATAGCTCAGTTTGAGGTAAACACACACACACACACACACACACACATATATATATATATATATATATATATATATATATATATATATATAAAAGAATGAGCTAATTACACCATGTAGCTGAGTTCAATAGGGAACAATATAAAATTCCCTATAACTGCACTAAACATAGAATCCTCTCTTATGCTTTTACAGGAGAGTCTAGAAAGTGGGGCTGACATAGCTCAGTTTGAGATAAACACACACACACACACACACACACACATATATATATATATATATATATATATATATATATATATATAAAAGAATGAGCTAATTACACCATGTAGCTGAGTTCAATAGGGAACAATATAAAATTCCCTATAACTGCACTAAACAGGATTTACATGTGAGTTCAATATCTGTGGAAACAAAAATTCATGCACTAATTGGATTCCTTAATAACAATGGTAGTAATTAGTTTTATTTTATCAAAATTGAATCAATTTAAATCCGATAAAATAAATATGCTTATAACATATAAATATATGTAATCTTTAAAATGTAGGTATTTTATAAATAAGAAATAATTTGAAAATAATAATTGAAGAATTATTTAAAGAATATTATCAGAATATGAGAGTAAATGTTTTTATACAATTTTGACAGCAAAATTATAATAGCCAATTTTCAGGTTTTCCCAATCGCTAAGGAAGCTGAAGTGCCTACTAAAAGAGCTTTTTAGTTTTATCCCTCTGGCTTTTAGATTTATTTAACCAAATGATTCAGAGCCCCATCTACAGTTTATAAAGATATTGGTTTCTGTTTTCATTTCTTCAGCAACTGTATCGCAAGAAGCCTGGACTCACTCTAAATGCTGCTAGGCTTGATGCCAATATTAACAAAAACAGATACAGAGACATCTCACCATGTAAGTCTTACTATCATATTACAGGTTAAAATATTACAGTTTAATGATGAATTTTAGAACTTGAGACTAAACAAAGCAATACATTTTTTGGAGAAAAAAAACTCTTTTTAAATCTTCCCTTGAGAAACAGTACATTCAAATATAATATAGCGCTCCTTTTAATAATTTTAACATAATTTTTGTTAACAGCCAAGATTGTTTCAAGATTTAATCTCATTTAATTATATAAGTTTTGAAACTTTTGTTTTGACTTGTTCAGATGATCAAACAAGGGTGGTGTTAAAAAGTGGAACTGCTGGCGATTACATCAATGCTAATTTTGTAAATGTGAGTACAATTGAAACAAAATGTTTAAAAAGTGAACTGTAACTGGACTTATTTAGTATATGTAATAGAGTTCTGTGTATTTTACTCATTTGGACATTGTCGATTCTTGAGAGATCGAGAGAGAGAAAGAGGCAGTTTAGAGGACTGTAATAAATTATTCAATTAGTAGCGGCAAGCCATCACCTACATTGAACTCATGGATTTAGTTAACATTGTATGAGTAACTTTATTGAATCGCAAGCACCATCTTCCGTAAGAAGGTTACCATATACAATTGTTACATGAACCTTAAATGTGTGTCTTTTATCCAGTTTTTTAACTAATCTTTTCTTATAAACCAAGAAACGATTTTGTTGTTTAATTTTGGCTTACAAAGGAATCACTTGTTTTTTTTTTCTACTTCACATTAGATGGAAATTCCAGGTTCAGGTATAGTAAACCGCTACATTGCTGCGCAAGGTCCACTACCTAATACTTGTAATGACTTTTGGCAGGTACACAGTAAACAGATTTTTGGTTGCTTTTAAAGTAGTAGAACATCTTTATCTATCTATTAATAGTGCACAATAATATTGCAGGAAGTAATCAAACCTTTTATTTTTTTTATATTGTTTAAAATTAATTTTTACTGCATATTATGGTTTTAAATCTTAAAATTCATCAACAGTAAAAAAAATGTTTCTTGTCGATTTTTTAATTTTTTTGTAAGGCAATTTTACCATAATATATGATTTATATTAATTACTTTGAATTTGATGAAAGTTAAAATTGATAAAAAGAATGTTATTTCCAGATGGTTTGGGAACAGCATTCATCTCTAGTGGTCATGCTGACCACAAAGGTTGAACGTGGCAGAGTCAAGTGTCACCAGTACTGGCCCCAGCTCTACGAGACTGAAGATTTTGGTGCCATTCAGATTACATGTGTAAAGGAGGAAGAGACGCACTCGTTTGCCTTCAGGGAATTTAATTTGACACATGTTGAGACCAGTGAGGAAAGGCACATCAGACACATGCAGTACATTGCATGGCCAGATCATGGGGTACCAGATGACCCTAGTGATTTCTTACATTTTGTCATTCGTGTTCGACAGAACAGAGATGGCATGGTAGAGCCCACAGTCGTTCATTGCAGGTATTCGAATGGCCAATTTTTTTTTTATATAGAGTACTGAATCTGGGTCAATCAATATTTATTGCTTTTATAATATATCTTAAAAGTCAAAATTTGTAACAATGCTATTGGTCAAAATATTCCAACCTGATTATATTACTAGTGTCATTTGAAAGACGTATGTTTTGTTATTTGACTCTGATCCAAATGTTAAATCCATCTCGCATCTAAAGAAGTCCATTTACAAATATTTATTGTTCAAATTATTAGTGCTGGAATTGGAAGGACTGGTGTGCTTATAACAATGGAAACCGCAATGTGTCTTATAGAAGCTGCCCAGCCTGTTTATCCTCTGTCCCTTGTTCGGCAGATGAGAGATCAACGAGCTATGCTTATTCAAACTTCTGTAAGTTGAATTTTTGTTTGTTTGCAGTCTTTAATTTTAATTTCGCTGCCTTTTTTAAAATTATTATTAGATCTATTATTTATAGTATATTACTTTTTATTATTTATATATTTTTTTTTATTGTTAGATATCAAATAATTTATTTTATCTAAATTATTCAGTTTGATTAAATGGGAGCCGCTTAGTCCATTGTTTTGTCACGTGATGAGAGTAAATACGAGTAAGACTTCTGGGAGGCTGTATGCAACACACTAGTGCTTGACAACAGTAGCCCATTACACACTACAACTAGTAATTCAAGATGCCTAGGCAATGTTTGGCTTTTGGCTGTTCAAACAGTCAAGTTAAGGACAGCGGTATAAGTCTGCATAAGTTTCCGCTTAAGGATAAAGAAAATTTAAGACAAAATGGCTTGACAAAATGGATCTTCGTTAATTATTCACATGAAATCTTGTTCCAACCGGTTATTAAAATATTCCTTCGCCGCACAAATATTGAATAAACACGCAAATGACGTCATGGGTATGCCGACATTTCGTCCAATGAAAATTAACATAAAATAAACAAAGGGGAATGACTCTTGCACAAATATTGAATAAACACGCAAATGACTTCATGGGCACGAAGCTCAACAACAGCCTGCCGATGATAGTTCCCATCGAATATCGCTCACAAATTTTTCTTGAAATAACTTTCTTCCTTTAATCATAACTGACGTATATTTATTGTCACATTTATGTATTTCATTTAAAAAACATGTGTATTCCAGAATATTTTGAAAAGTAAAATTTTTAAGTAACATGACATTGGGGAAGCACTGATGAAGACGAACATTTTTCTGTAAAATTAATGGCAGATCAGCTGTTACCTTTTGTGATGGCTTACTCTCATCGCGTGACCAAACAAGGCAGTGACCAAGCGACTCCCATTAAGATAAATTGGAAATATTAATTTTTTTGTTTTGCAGTAAAATACTATATACAAAAATATCTTGAAATGGACATCATTTAAATTGATACATTTGTTGTTGGTGGTTTGATTTTAAAATAGGAAATTGTTCATCTAGGATGGCACACATTACTGAAATACCATTTTTGAAATTTAACATTATTTATGAATTTTAACAAATGATTTTTTTTAGTATACTATTTGGTGAATTTCTCTGACTTTTTCCTAAGAAATTATTTATTTATTTCAGAGTCAATACAAATTTGTTTGTGAGGCAATACTAAGAGTTTACAATGGTAAGTTCAATTTCTTGAAGTATCATTTTCATATTTTTGGTAATTAAATTTTATAATAGCCTAACTTATAATCAAATTAAATGGTAGCCATGGGTTTTCAGCCCAACATTGCAGCAGACTCCTAACAAGCTTAATATGGATGTTGCCCAGGGAAAACAGCTGAATGTTGGAATGACTCAGCTGTTTAGGCTCAATGCATGTTACTAATTAAAAGTAAAGAATGGTGAATAATGTTTTAAATTATTTTTAAAATTTAATTATTAATTTGCCAAATACAGTATTAATAATGTAAAATACTGGTATTTTGTTTGATTTCAGAAGGTCTTGTGAAACCTCATGAGGACTTCAGGAGATGAGGCACACATCCAGCTAACACTGTCAAACAGCACTGGGATGTTAATAAACTTTTATGAGTTTGAAAATGTTCAACAACATAAAAACAGCCATTCGAACTACTTCATTTTCAGTTGTGGACTACTTTGTTTACCCATGCAGTGACCTCCCCTCACCATCTGCTCAATTTCAATTTGGACTGGAATCTGTGTCATTGTTAAGTCAACAATTTTCAGGATCTTCTGCTGACTGTAAGAGCAGAAAAGTGAAAACAGAAACATCTATTTTCTTTTGATGGAATTATTGATCACATAAGACAATGGCCAACATGAACTGTTTCAATATGAACCATGTTGTGTGTTAGAGTTTCCCCACATTGTTGTGCTCATTGTTTTATCACAGTCCATGTTCCTCTACTGTGTAGTCGCCACACATGGAGTGACCTAATATTGCTTCAAGGAGAAATATTTTAGTCTTTTAAGATTTAGAATTGATACAATTCCTTTTAAGGCCTGCTAAACCACCAAATGTTACTTGAATCAATCTTTCATGGAGTTTGCTCATAATTCTGACCAGTACTGAGGTGCTCTAAAAAAGTGTTTAATTTTTTTAATAATTTTCTAGTGTAATTTGATAAATTTATGAATATTATATATATGCCCAATTTACTCGATTATTCTTAGAAATGAATGATGTGTTTTTTACTTGATTTAAAACAACAATTTTTGTATAGGTACAAAAAGTTCATTTAAATATTTGGAACAGATAGCAGTTCATTTAAATATTTGGAACAGCTTTACGATTATTCTAAGATCTTGGTGTTTCATTATTTTTTTTATCTGGACATTTTTTTTTACTAAGGCATTTATTGTAACATTAAGTAATTGTTACCTAAAAAAACAACTGAAAAAGACTTAAAGATAATGTGAATAGTCCACATGCTAAATTTTTTTTGTTGTACACACATTTCAAATCCTGATTTCAAGCTTTTAGTTTTAGGGGCATAGAATGAAAAAATAAAGTTAACATTAATTTTGGAAGATTTGTCCTGTAAATGTACCATGTTTATGATGACTGGTTTTTACAAACTAAAATTTTTTGTTTTTACTAATTTTATTGATGTTACATTTTTAAATAAAGGACGTTTTCAAACATTAGGTTAAGAAAGCAAGCCACTGCGTTGAAAATGTATAGAATCACCTTCTATGATTGATACACTGGTGAACTTGTGTTCTAAATCATAAATTTCATTCAACATTTTAAATATGGTTCTATGTGATTGCAGTATTTCATTAGCAATACCTTCTTGAAGATCCTCTCAATATACTATTCATTTTTTCAAATATAATGTAAAACTTTAATGTTTTGCATAGTATACCACCATTATGTCAGTATTCACTTCCTTCAATAAAAACACTTTAATTTATGACTGATTTGCATTTGGTAGATAGTCTGTGTTTTATCAATGGTAGGGCCTATCTATGGAACTAGATAGATAGTCTGTGTTTTATCAATGGTAGGGCCTATCTATGGAACTAAATTTTAAAAATTATTCCTTTGGTTCATTCTTAACCACTGGCAAGAAACTGTAATAATAGTATGAGATGAGGAAAAAATGAAAGATACAAGTTATTAGCATTATTAAATGTGTAAATCAATTTTAAGGTAAGCTATTGCATAAATGAGACTACTTGTATTATTTTCATATTAATAGTAAAATAATTACAAACTGAGGGTTGTAGATATTTGATGGCTTAATTGGATAAATCTTTTTTCTTTTCCACTACTGCTGCCTTGAGATGCGTTCAGCGTGGTTATTCTTAATGGTCATAAATTATCACTAACAAATGTTTGTGTTTGGAAATGTCAAGAATGATATGCAGTTTTAGCTAACTATACAATTGAAATGAAGGCTCAACTATTGATTTTCCCAGTTGACAATATAAAAATATGTGGCTGAAAAATTAGGACTAGTCTTAAAACTATGAAAGGCAGATTAGTCATAATTTACTCGAAAAAAAACAACTGGTTGTTAATATGTGTTGAAGTTTATTGTATTCTTACAATTATTGAAAAATATTTGAATTATTCTTTATTGTTAGGTTCTTTGTACTAGACAATTACACTGTTCAAATTTATGATAAATTAAAAGACAATAACTTAAAAGATATGTAGTGAATTTAACAGTGTAATGTCAAAATATGACATCCAATGAAATGATGTTCAAATATTTGTCTTTGGATAAAATACACATTATTTCTCTTTCTTATTTATTGATTCACTGACATTCTCAAGTTATTATTTTTTTTGTGTGGCTAAGTGTAGAAATTGTCAAGACCCGATGCATGCAAAAATGTATTTCCTAATTTTAGTCTCAATGAAAGCTTATTTTCTAAACATTTTTAAATTTTATTTGTAAATCTCAATCTTCAACATTTCATTTGTATTACTATAAACAGAGAAAATTCTAATGATAAAAGATGGCTGCCTCCAATTATGAACAGGTGCATTTCAACATTGTGTTAAATATTTGTCAGAGCCAAGAGGTAAACCATTACCACAATTTCATCTATGTAAACTGTTATAATACGGACATCAAGCCCTGTTATGTCAACAACCCATAACAATGTACAGTATTATTGTCACAAAGTATCACATACAGCTTAACACCAGCTTCATATTTCATATTACACAATGTTAGACTAATGTAAATATTGATAGTATAACTATAAATTGATGATTGTTTTTATAAGTATTGTGTAACATGCACTTTTATCAAGACAGAACTGTGTATGTTACCAAAATTACATATCATTTGTGTTGTCCACCAGTTTTAATCTGGGCTTTGCATTTGCTTGGCATGTACCTGAACCAACTTAGTTCAGTCATATTTCCCAAACTTTGAGAGTTTATCACTACATTTTTACTCAGTTTTTGGTTAGTCTTCTTTGCTGTAGATTAATATTTAATTATCACACTACAAGCAGTTTTGATGGACATCCTAGGGTTAGCTATAGCATTATTTTTGTGTTTGGAATTTTAATTGCTTAAAGAAAGTAAGAAAAAGAGAGAAATTCTCTAATAAAAAATTATTTATATACAAAACTTCTAATATGACATGTCTGAAAAGTCCTACTCAACATTGGGCTCATTAAATTTTTGGCTTCACTGTCAAATAAATCTTTGATAATGTCCTGATACTCAACTGCTTGTGCTCTCTGTATTGATGTGGCTAAATGCAGCCAGGGTTTTAGGCTTATGCCAGCCATGCAAACAAATTGAGTAGGAATTTTGTTTGTTTAACTGAGATTAAGTATGGTTCAGGATTACATCTTCTATTAATGTCGTGTGCCCTCCACAGACATTGTTGTAAGTACTTATGTTACCCTATCACTGGTGCCCTGTCCTCATCAAAAGTTTTATCTCTGGTTGTCATCAATTCTGTGTAGTTCACTAGTTATTTTCATGACTTTTTTTCTGCAAACACTATTAATATGCTATGAATAGTAAGCACTCTGGCAATGTGTAACTAAAAGCTGTAAACATTTCAATATTTTTACTTTTGTAGCGTGAAATTTTAGTTGAATCTCATCATTATTTTTTGTTACAATTTTTCTAGTGGATTCCATATTCTATATATGGTAAGGAAATGTGTTATTTATACCATTAACTTAAATGTTTGATCTTTCATGTTGTTCATGCTACTGATTGCTTTTTTAAAAAAAAATAAGAAAATGATGGTTCATGTTTTATTGTGTCAAATAATGGAGCATATATTTCATAAGTTTATCAAAAAATTATATTACAAATAGTTTAAAGAAGAATTTATATCCATCGTAAATTCTTAAAAGTTGGTATATGTTTTGAAGATACTGACGCCAAATTATTTTTTATGTTTGAAGATGTTTAATTGTAAAAGTGCTATTTAAAAAAATACTATATATTATTTATTAAAGAGGGTGATCATGAATTTTCCGACTATAAATATTCATCTCCCATTCATCTCGGTGTTATCAAATTTTCTTCCGTTTCAAATCTAAAGGAGAGATTGACAATTAATAACTCACAAATGCAGTTGGACAAAGTACATCTTAACAAAACTTTTAAAACATTTATTTTTGAAAGTTATTTTCTAAATTCAAATTAGCATTTAATTCACTATTTAAGAAAAAAGTTGAACTTTTTAAAAAGTAGATAAATTATAGGATTGATTTGATTGAAGTCTAAAAATGATTTTAAAATATTCCATAAATTGGTATCATTATTTGAAAACTTGTTTAGCTCTTCTGTGAATTGATAAATGTTTGTATTGTTTTAACATTATAAAAACCTTGCATTAGAATAACACAATTGACTAATTATATTTGCACCAATCTTTGAAAATGCACTAAAAGATGAAACTATACACCAATTAAATGTAACTAAGGTACAATTAAACTGACATTTGATGCTTTCATTAATGTTCTCCATGCTTGTATATTTTGATGTGTGTTATAGCTGTGCCACAGAATGGCTGTGGTTTTCTCATGGCTGTTGTGCTAGGATGAATTTTCCTAAAGACTGCTGTCTTCAGTAACTTTTTATCTACTTTTTTTGTTTACAAAGTCCCTGGGCAAAGAGAAATGTTTAAATCAATATAACACAAAATTGAATATTCATAAAAAATCTTTTCAAATCATTTATATTTTTTACAAATTTTATTTTTTGGTGGTGTTTATATAAATAAAAAAACAACAAAAGACTGTTTCTATTCAATATATCAAAATACTTTTTTGGGGGTTTATTTAGACATTTAAATCCAGTAAACTTTGGCTAACTGTCTAAATTACAATATTACCTCGACAGGATTCTTTCCAACTGATTCCCATTAATTCATTTTATTTAAAACATAATTTATGGTTTTTTAAACTCAACAGAGGATTGACTTATGAAAAGAAACACAGAAACATGTAAATATTATTTCTTTAAAAAGTACTTTGAAATTCTATCCTTGATTTTCTGAAAGTCCTCTTTTGTTCAAGTCCATCTCTACCATTGCAAGCACAACAAAATAGATCTGTTTCTATTTTTACATTTTAAATATTGTGATGTTGGTCATAAGGTTAAAGAAATAACAAATTTTGTATATTTTAACAAAGATGTATGTATATTGCTGAAACTAATTTATATCTGTAAACCCAAACATTAGAGTGCTTGTACTGGAGTACTCCTCTAAGGAAAATGTATTTTGTAAGCAAATAAACTAATTTGTATTTATGCAATAAAGTTATTGACTGTGGTCTGCTCTCTCTATCCTCCAGGATTGATATAAATATTATTGACATAACTTTATTAAGAAGCAGTTATTGTAGATATCTATAATGTGTGAATTTGTTCAGTCCATTCCTTATTTAAGAAAAAAAAAACACAACTAAAACATTTATATTGATGATTGTGCTAATCATTGTTTATAAATATTGCATCGCCATTTGCATCTTTCTGGGATCATTTTTCTTGAAGCGTTCAAATAAAGATGATTTTCACACAAATTTAATGATTGATTTGTTTTTTAATTATTGAGTTTGGCTTTTTTAAAAAAAAAAGGCTATATTTAACCCTCAAAGCATTTAAGAGTTTGTTCCCTATGTAACTAACTGTTTGAAGTGTTAATTTGGGGACGTCAAAACACTTCAGCGAAAAAAACACAAAAAAAGAACCTCTTTAAGTTTAAGGTTATCAATATATAAGTTTTAAAAAATTGAATCTCTATTATCTTTGGATTTTCTTGGTAAAGAAGGGTGACATGTTTTATAATTTCTAAGAGCTTAACATGTGAATTATTTATTTGGTAGTAACAAGTTTCTTCCGTATAGTGCAACGACTTTCCAATAAATAGTATCACTGCATAACAATTTTTGCGATCAAGTAAAGAATATAATGTAATTTAATATTTTCAACTACTTGAAATAAAGTTCTTTTGCTTCTATTATTGAGAGAAAAAAGTAAGATTGCATACAATATATTCATTTTGCTTTTTTTTTCATACAAATATACAATATATTTGGCACTTAATTTATGCACATTCCATTCTCTGAATTAAACATTGTGATTCAGGCTTTGATGATTCGGACTCTTGAGACTGAAATTTGTTTCGAAAAAGGTAATAATTATTATAATATTTCTTATTGCCCAGATAAACTCAAATATTAAACAATATGGACTCTTGTGATGTCAAAATTGGAGTTTTTTATTACAAAATGGAAATATTTTATTATACCCGTTTGCTGATAATTAAAACAAAAGTTTAACGTTTAATTCTGCAAAATCTTACTTTTAGAATGTTTCATTTGTAAAAATTCTGAATGCATTTCATTTGGTAATTCCAATCCAACCCAATGGGTGAGCATTGCCAACATTAAAATTAAAGCATTCATTCAAACACCATGAAATGAAATGTTTTTATTATAACAAATGTTCACATCAGCTAAAATGTAAGGTTGTCATAGTCTGGCAATACGAAGGAGGGAAGGAACGGTTAGTACGTGCTTAAAAAATGTTAATAAATAAACTCAAAATATCTTACAAATTGCTTATCAGCAGGCGAAAACGTTAAAAATTGAGCCTCAATAGTTGGGGAGACAAATCATGTTCAAACGGTGATTACAGGTAACAAACTGTCATAATATGGAACCTCATCCTTCATTGTACTTGATTTGTGAACACAAGAAAGATGAAAATCAGTCCAATGTTTAACATACATATTAATACAAATTACAGTAAACCTTAAATGAAAATTATAACTAAGATGCTGTGCACACTGTTAGTAAAGACAATGCTATTTGATGATGAAAATGATCAATGGGAACTAATGCATTTTATTTAGCACCATGGTTAATTGAATACAACTGGTTAAATATGAAAAATCAGCTATTAATATTGAGTATTGCTAGAAAAAAAAAAACAACAACCCTTTAACAGCAGAATATTTAACACAAAATTTTCTGGCATAATATTATTTCAGAGTCTGTCTTTCCTTAACAGATTTTTTCGTTCAAATGGTAAGGCATTGCACATAAGAGTTGTTAAACAGATATCTTAGCTCATCAGAATTTATGACTGTCCTGAATATTCAAATACAAAATACAATCTTATAAACTCGCAAAAAGTACAATCAATCTCTTTTACAAGCATTACAATCTCTTTCTTTTACTAGCATCAAAATCTTGTTTCTTTTACAAGCATCAAAATCTCTTTTCTTTTACTAGCATCAAAATCTCTTTTCTTTTACTAGCATCAAAATTCTCTTTTCTTTTACTAGCATTACAATCTCTTTCTGTCAGATTATTCCATTTAATTTGCAAGATTGTAATTATTTTATTTATTTTATCAATTCCTTCACTAATTCAACATATTATCACCATTTAACTTTGCAAGTAACTCATCCGTTTGTTCACAACTCATTAAAATTTAAAATACATAAATTTTAACAAATTAAATTTATATTAATTTTATTTAACATGAAGAAACATTTCTCATCAACAAACTGTTTTCAAATTGATAGCGAAGTTTTCAGTAATCATCCATCCACCTCTCTCCTCCCTTAGACCACCTAGTGCTAGGTTCCCTATTAGAGTTTCGCATTTTCTCATAAGGACCTGACGTCGGTCTAAAATCGACCACTTCCCCATTGTCAAACAAAGGCTCATAATGACCAGACAGGCCGGCCTCCTGAACTGGCTTCCTAGACTTCTGGACAACTGCGTACTCATCATTGTTCACAGAGTAATGGCAGTCATCAGTTGTGTGGTCTACGAAAGGTTTTGAATCATTAGCCCCTATGTCATGATTTGGCACAGAAGAGTGTGAATTCGGCAACACTTTCCTATTTTTATTGCTGGCATTGTTTTGATGATCTCTGTCGATGACCTCATAGATGTTACTGCTGTCATCTTTTTCAGACATCTCATAGATCTCATGGGCAGGCATCTGGTAGAAGTCAGCATCTGCTGTGTTTGTGGTGCTGACGTCATCATACACTGCAAACGAACCTGTCTGAAAGGTGTTGATCAGATCTCTGAAGTCGTTGTCTCGTTTATCAGACAAGAAAGTTGATATGCCGCTGCCGCTACTCAGCCTGTGATTGAATTCTTCATTCTCTGAGATGGCATCGTGATGCACCGTAGCCACAACCTAAGAATCATTTTAAAGTTGATATTTAATTGAAATAAAATGGATCGATGTTTATTTTGGTTAGAATTCACAAGCTCATCAAACACTTTAATTTGTAGTTGACTAATGCAAAGTTATCAGAGAAATGGAACTGTCAACAAAAACATAAAAAGTTTTGCTGATATAGGTTAAAAATGGCTGGTCATATTTTTTTACTTTCTATACTTTCTATGTGAAAAAGACCTACCTAATAAAAAACAACAAAAAACTCTTCTACACATGCTAGAATACTAATTTTTAAAAAAAATGTACATAATGTACATTAACATTTCATGGAAATAATTTGTAACAATGAACAACTATAAAATATATCATCTAGTATATTTGCAACCGTCAAGTTTAAGATTATACTTTGCAGTCCAGTACTGTTGGCAGGTCATTTAAGGTAACTAAAATGCCTCCGTCAACTCACTTTGTCTGATTCACTGGCTACTGTATAAGGATAATTTGTCTCTGATGTGAGAGAACCCGAACCTTCTGCCATGCTGTTCGTTTGAAAGGTATCAAGAGGTGTTTCATCCTGCTGGTGCCACAAGGCAGTTTTCTCACTAGAGCTGCCAGAGGAGCCTCCATTCTTAGAGAGCCTGTGATAACTGGAAGACAAAAATCATTCAACTTCAACAACAATAAAAAGTAGGCTACTTATTATTGTTATACATATATAAATTAAGAGACCAAATGAGAAATGCATTACTTAGCCTGTTATCTAATACAATACGCACATGACATATTAAAAGCACATAACATATTAAAATACGTCCAGTGTTTTGTAAAAAAATAAAATTTCGCAGCTAATAGGGATCTTAGTTTATGTGCACCACAAGCAGGTAATTTGAACGTGTTTTCAGATACAACCTAAACAACAGATCAACTCCTTTATTATCATATAATTATTTGAAATTATCAAAATTAAATTTGAAATAGTTGGCATCTTTTATATTGTAAAACAGTTTCTTTCTTAATTGTTTATTTTGTCATTATGATTTTTTGAAGAAGGTTTGATGGATTGAGTTTTGGTATCCTTCAAACTTAATTCAATGTTATTAACCCTTTGCTGACTTTGAAATTTAAGATATTTAAAAATATTTAAGGAAAAGTTTGAAACTTGGTAAGACAAAACCTTTTAAAAAAACACACACAACAAAATAACGAATGTGTTGGCAAGAAGCCTTCTTCAACGAAGAAACAACGATAAAACAAATGTAAACATTAAAACTTAGCTGAAGTTTTATGTCTGAGATGTTTTATGTGAGAAGTCAGTAAGAGGAATGAGGTAGATCAATAGTAATTGAGAGAGGTAATAAAGGCAAAAGGGGAGGAAAAGTACATTTATCCTGCGCAATATTTCAAAGGTGTTCAGTACATCTGTCAGAAAGACACCGACCCGTCTCGCCCAGATAAGCCATATGGAAGAAGGTACAAGCAATGTCGTAGATAACATTGTGGCTTGTGCAAAGGAAACCGTCCCTTATCTGAAGACTAACCTGCGGGAATGGAATGTGTTGAGTCTTGATAACAAAAGGGAACGTTTTAAAATGGCTGCGTCAACATGGATTGGTCCCAAAATGGGAGTGGGTAGTACGGAGGTGGCTATGAACAAGGAGATCTTCTAGATTCTTAACTCCCCTGCACGCGTCGTGGTCGGTGAGGAGAATGGCACGGTTTTTAAAGAAAATCTTTTTGGCAAAGAGATTGTGGGGATAAGTCAGAATAAGTTTGGCCCTGTCGCCATTGTCACTCAGACGATACCTGCAGGCTTCAGCACAAGTGATGATTTTAACCAGTTGAAAGGCTGATGAAAGTAACGTTCCGTGTAGGACCTATACCCGAAACAGTCGATCGTTTCAAGCGCCTGGTCCCATAAGTCATCATCAGACTGGCAAAGTCGACGATGGTAAAGTAGTTGTGAAAATGGAATAGGGGTCCATGTAGGATTTAGGGTGGGAAGAGGATTAGAGTAAATAGTAAGTCGGTAAGTTTAAAGTAGGCGGAGGTGAGAAGGCTGTCATTGTGGAGGGTGACCGCAATGTTCAAAATAGGTAACCGAGATCTGAGATACATGTGATGTGAATTTAATGGAGGGGTGATAAGAGACTACAAAGTTGATGAATAATTAAGTTTCACTCCTCTCCACAGTGATAATCCTAATACCATCATCAATGCACCTTTTGTAGAGGCGCGCAATGTAGTCTCTCTCCAAAATGTGTTCGAAATGTCCCATGAACAAACATGAATAGCTGCGACACATTTTAGTGTACAACACCACTGATTTTGGTCAAAGAATTGGCTTTAAACTCAAAAGAATTGAGGGTGAGTTCAT